TTCCACCCGGCTCATTCTATCTGCCCATTCTAAGCAGGTTCCAGGCGCCAGAAGCGCCAGAACTACCTTAGTTTTGCTAACCCTAACCTAGATTTTTTGGGTAACCCTAAAATAGGGCAAATTCCCCATGCATCAGGGCCATTTTTTAAATCCTCACTTTTTGCAGGTTTTCCGCCCGGCTCATTATATTTGCCCATTCTAAGCACATTCCAGGTGTCAGAAGCACCAGAACTACCTTAGTTTTGCTAGCCCTAACCCTCACCTGGATTTTTTGGGTAACCCTAAAATAGGGCAAATTCCCCATGCATCATGGCCATTTTTTAAATCCTCACTTTTTGCAGGTTTTTCCACCCGGCTCATTCTATCTGCGCATTCTAAGCACGTTCCAGGCGTCAGAAGCACCAGAACTACCTTAGTTTTGCTAACCCTAACCTAGATTTTTTGGGCAACCCTAAAATAGGGCAAATTCCCCATGCATCAGGGCCATTTTTTAAATCCTCACTTTTCGCTGGTTTTTCCGCCCGGCTCATTCTATCTGCCCATTCTAAGCATGTTCCAGGCATCAGAAGCACCAGAACTACCTTAGTTTTGCTAACCCTAACCCTAACCTGGATTTTTTGGGTAACCCTACAGTAGGGCAAATTCCCCATGCATCAGGGCCATTTTTTAAATCCTCACTTTTTGCAGGTTTTTCCGCCCGGCTCATTCTATCTGCCCATTCTAAGCACGTTCCAGGCATCAGAAGCACCAGAACTACTTTAGTTTTGCTAACCCTAACCCTACCCTGGATTTCCTGGGTAACCCTAAAATAGGGCAAAATTCCCCAGGTATCAGGGCCATATTTTAAAGCCGCACTTTCTGCAGGTTTTTCTGATCGGCTCATTCTATCTGCCCATTCTAAGCAGGTTCCAGGCGTCAGAAGCATCGGAGCCCCCTTAGGTTTGCTAACCCTAACCCTATCCTGGATTTCCACAATCACCCTAAATCAGACACAGCTCATTCTATCTGCCCGTTCCAAACCTGTTCCCAGCCTTAGAGGCATCAGAAGCACCTTGGTTGTGCTAACCAGAACCCTAGGCTGTATTTTCAGTGTAACTTAAAACTGGGGAGAATTGCCCATGAATTATAGCAATTTCAAAAACCTTCCCTTTGCAGAGATTTTTCTACCCAGCTCATTGCATCTCCCCTGGGATAGAGCTTGGCCCTTCCTAGCAATCATTCTGAAATAACAAAAGTAGTGTGCATCTATGTATATAGGAAACATTTCACATTGGAGAATCCTTTGCAAATTTACACAAGCAAGTTCTATAATCCTAGTAACCTATGGGACGTTTTACTTCCCAAATAAGCATAGCATTGCACATAAGAATATGTGGTGTCTCCCTTATGGTTTTGATATAATGAATGACCCCATACCTACAACACTTGTTTTGTGAACTTCTGGTTCCGTTCCACTGAATGCCTCTGAAAGATCATCAAAGAATTGCTCCATATCTTTCAGTTCCCCTCCTGCCATCAGCTTGATCCTGTAAAGTGAAGCCAGTATTAGAAGCTGTCCTGTACCCAGCCAGAATATATGTCCCTCTAGAGTAGCTATATTTATTGGCAATGGCTCTCCAGGTTGCAGGCACATTTCTTCCTAAGTGATCCATTTTTTAAAACAATGCCAGGGAAAGAACCTGGAGCTTTTTGCCTGAAAAGCAAATGCTCTACCACTGATCTGTAGAACCTTGCAACAAAATCAGTATTTTATAAAATAAGTATAGAGTTTTAGTCAATTTAATATGCCCTTGATTACATCTTTTAAGGATCATTTAATTCTGCTGGAAACACCTGAGTGGATGAAATTTTTTACTCTCACCAGAATGAGGCAGATGAAAGAATTTATCAGCTTACCTAATTTGAACAGAGTTCGCTATCTGAGGGCAGCATTCCTCAATAGCTTTAATCAATCGAGACAACGTCATGTCAGGCCCCTAAATAAAGCACAAGTGAAATCACAAGTTTCATTGATATCTGGTCTAACACCTGTATCTTCACTGCAAATATAAGTAGACTCATATATAAATTCATATAGATTGGAATAAGAATGAGATGTAAACTATGTTGTCAGAGGAAACTGAAATGCAAAGAGTAGAGGCAATGATTGTTAATTTCCTCTTAATATCACAGTTCACTTCTCCCCCGTCCCAGAATGAGTATGTAGATTTGTCATGTGAAATTAATGCTCCATGTATCAGCGAACGAGGCAGTGTCTATGAAAGTTTAGCCAGAATAAATGTGTTCACCATTTTGGTATAGCATGATGATGATGATGATGATGATGAAGATGATGACTCTTAGGATGACAAGATGCAAAAGAGGGCACAGTGCCTACATTTTAAACTTATGTGCACAAGAGGGAGCTGCAGTCCCTGATGCCAGCATAAACAATACAAGACTACACATAAAAACCAAGGATAGTTTTGCCCAGTATTCGTTTCACCCAATGGCCAACTCACTGCCTCTGGGAAGCCCACAAGCACAACGTGCATACAATGATAGGCTCCTGCCCCTGCCCCTATTTCCCAGCAACCGCTGTACACGGACATACTGCCTCTGATCCTGGAGGACGCACAGCTACGAGGACCCGCAACGACAGTCACGCGGGGGTCCCGCCGTCTTTTGCATCTGCCTCGCGCCCGAACCATGGACGACCCAGAGACTCAAACGCCAGGCGGGCCCTGTCCTCCTCGGGCCCTTGCATACCTGGAGCAGCGGCAGCAGCAGGCGATTGAGGCGCCGCCTCTCGAGCAGGCTGAGATGCGGCCCAGCTCGGCCCAGCTCTCCGATCAGCACCAGCAGCGCCATCTTGTAGGGGGTGACCCAGTCCTTGATGCCGAAGACGTTGGCGTGCACCACCCCGTTGGTCATCATCGGGTTGAAATACAGGCTCTCGTGCACGCTGGCCATGGCGGCGCAGCCCCCTCCGCCCCTCTCCGCGCCTCGCCGGGGGGCGGCTGCCGAGGCGACACACGCTACGCAGCCGCGGCCATCACCCCGGTAACTGCGCCTTGCTCCCAAGCTGGCCAATCGCAGGAGCCAGGAACTTCCGCGCTGAGCCAATCAGAGCGCAGCCAGGAGCAACCTGCTATTGAGCAGGGCCAGAAACATTACACACGCTATCAAAGGTTCCGTTGTGGTTGCTGGTCTGCTTCGCTCTGAGCGGAATTAGGCGTGTGTGTATATATACGCATCATTTATTTATTTGCTACATCTCTGTACTGCATGATAGTCCGTGCTCTATGGGCAGTTCACAACAATTAATTAATTTTGGGGTTTTTGTTTTGATTTTATATAATTTTATGGAATTTGTATTGCTTTATTGTTTTTAATTGTACATTTGTGAGCAGTCCCGAGATGTCAAGGCATGTGGTGACGGCATATAAAAGTTTTAAATAAAAAAAAAAATACAGCACAATAAATAAGTTTGTAAGTTTTTTAAAGCTACAGTAGAAAGACAAATAAGGGGTGGGGGCTTAGTAGCGGTGCCAATATTTAAAATGCAGTTAACATTTAAAACAAAACCTGAAAGAGTAAAATGTCTGGGAAAATAAGATTATAACTGTGTGCCACCAGTTAGGTGCCGTGTGTGTGTGTGTGTGTGTGCGCGCGCGCACTCACAAAAGGACTTAGACCCTGCAATCAAGCTCCTTAGATCCAAGGTCACTCAGGGATTTGAAACCAGTTCAAGTCTGATCTTCATATGAACCCTCTTATTATTCCTAGAATACAGATGAAGGACTACTTCACAATCAACACTTTTAACCAATATGCTAAAAGCGTGCAGTTAAGGTGCATTCCCACACAATCTAAATTAGCATAGGATTGTGTTCTTTGAGGAGAAAAGTGTGGCCTCCAGCCCCATTCTCTGCATGGATTCAGAGTGTTGCTTAAGCAAGCTGCAAACCACTGACTCTTCCTTCAGCCTCCAAAGGAGTGATGACCGCCAATATATGTGGAGAACAACAATATGTGGAGAACAACAGGCTGGGACAGGCTGCTATAAATCTTAACTTAGATTGTTCAACTGCCATGTTAAGCTTACTCATTTTACGTAGATTTTCTTCTTTGACCAAGAGGCACCACCAACCTATTGCCATAGAACAATCTTTTTTTCAAATCCTCCCCATCACCGGGTAATTCGGGAAGCTACTTTTGGAACCCCCCCCCCCCGCTCCCCAAGGCTTGTGTGCCTCTTCCTCTCAGACTTCAGCAGCACTGCATGATCAACACACAAAAAGTGGTTTCAGCACTGATGTTGCTGACACATCTTCTAAAGGGCACCTTTGTTGTGCAACAGAGCTGATAATAGTGGAAGGCCTGAACAGAAAGCTGTCCTGCTCAAGGTTTTGTTCCTCCTGGTGCCTCTTCTACGTTTGCAGACCTAACAAGATTACTTTGTCACGTTGGAAGGTAAATCCCTCATGTGGATATTTTTATGCCATCAAATCTTCTTAAAATTAGCATGCTTGTTAAAGAGTTAGGAAATGTGAAGCAACAAAAGACAGGTAGTATCACATCTATTAATAAACCGTAAAATAACACCAAACCCCCTCATTCGCTCTTTCATATTGTTCCTGCTATCTCTCAGTTAGTTGCTAATAAGCTGCAGCTAGGTGGAAATTTTTGGACAAGCTCTGTTGGAGCACAAGACAAAGCAGGTGTGGATGATAGGCGTTGTAGTCCAATACCTTTGGAGAGCGCCGAGTTGGGTGAGGCTGCATGGTTACAGAAGGAACACGGGGAACGTGGGGCTTTCCTGCCGGCCACAGGTTGTACATCCCTGGCTTGGAATATAGGCTTACTCTCCTTGTAGGAAAGATGGCTCTGGGCCCATGGGAAAACAGCAGGATGTGAATTAAAGACGGACAAGCTATTTAGAATGGCTTTCAGGCCTACCACAAGGCTGATCATATTCCTACTGTCATCTTGTCATCTTACTTGGCAATTTGTTTAACTATATATAAACGCGACACCTCCAAAATAACCCCGGCAAAGAACTCCCACGGGATGAGGCTGCGAAGAGGAGGGGCGCAGCCGCAAAGCAATGACGTCACGCCCCCCGCCGCGCAAACCATTCCTTCGCCTTTCCTAAGCTCCCCCGCTTCCGAGAGAAGAAAATGGGTCCTCCCTCTACCTCTGATTGGTGGCGCTGCGGAGGGAGCTTAGCGTCTCATTGGGCGACCACGCAGCCAGTGGGAACGCGGCGTGTTGTTTGTTGGGGAGGCAGCGGAGCCTTCCCGGGCCCGCCCATCTCTTGAGCGCGTCCTCCCTTCCTCTGCTCCCACTTCCTCTTCGTGGGTGGTCCCGTCGCGAGCCCCCCCCCCGGGCGTGCGCCTGCGCAGGCGCGGACCGAGCGCGAGAGGGCGACCGTTGGGGCGGTTGGCCGCCCGGCCCCCTCCCCGCAGCCGCCGCCGCCGCCGCCGCCGAGGCGAAGGAGGGAGGCGCCGAAGCGGCCATGAAGGTGAGCCCGGAAGGGGGCGAGGGGCGCCCGGCGGGGCGGAGGGGGGGGCTTCGTCGAAGCGGGCAGGGCTGCGCTTGGAGGGCGCGGCTCGGCTCGGCGCGGCTCGGCTCGAGGGGGCGGGTGGAGCCGTCCCCTTGCTCGCGTTGGATGGCGTAATAACTTCCTTCATTAAATGCAACCCTTTGATTAATAAATACTTGCCTGGCAGAGCAAGAATAATTTGAGGGGAAGGGGCCGGGTGGTTTGAACTTCAGCTGGATACCCGAAGGAAGTGTCCTGCGGCACCGGGCAAGGGGTGGGCACGTCCTGGCTGACTCGGGAGTCCCCGGCAGCGCCTTTCCGTTAGCCGCCCCTGCTCACAGATAGGCCTCTTGACTCCTGCTAGGCTTACTCGCGAGTATTTTACTTATAGCCGCCCGTCTTGCTCATAAAAAACAAAGCAATTTGCTCCCTGTTTCTTCCACTGAGCCCTTTAAAGCAGACTACCCGCATCTGACATAAATCCATCTTCACCCGTTACATACATACAATGTCACGTACATGTGTTGACAAGACAGTTTAAACCGACTTGATTGCTGCTCCCCCCGCACACACCTGCACAGTTCACATTAATTCAGGACGTGGCTTCCTGACAAAGGGGAAGAATGGGCTCCCTGATCCTTCTTTTGTCCCCTAAGGTAAAGAAGATCGGTGTGCTTGTGCAGGGTGTAAGTGTACCTAGGATTATACAGCTTCACCTGATGTTTGCTTGCTTGGAAGGAACTCTCCCACTCGCAGGCCTTGCTTGGAAGGAAGTCTGCACCTAGGACTGCAGCCTTATCGTATGGCAAGATGTATTGCGAAGCAGGGTCTGTCCAATGTAGACAGTGTCCTCAGATGTGCTGTCCTGCCTTTTCTCAGAAAGCACACAAGGTGTTATGTAACATCAGTGTAATAGAAAGTGATAAAAATGCAAGGTGCTGAGCATTCATAAATAATTTGCTAAAAGAATGGAAAGCGCTTAAATGAGCAAAGCCCATTGAAAACTGTAGCAAATTGCATTCCATAATCAAAATTTCCATAAGACCTGTATCAACGTAATATGAATTCTTTGTGCTTGAGATGTATTAGTTGTGCACAGACACACACACAAGACCTATTCCCCGAACGAAATAAAACTTAGGTTGCAACCTGATGCACACTGATATCAGAATATATACTATTAAGCACAGTATAACGTAATTTTTAGTAAAAATTCATAGGATTGTGCTGTTACATTGGAGGAGCTTTAGTTGATTAAATGAGAATTTAAGCAAGATGCTATAATTGAAAAAAGCACTGTTTTGAGATGCTGACTGCTCCTTGTTTGCATACATCAGGTACATCTTAAAAGCAGCAGATATATATATTGAGTCAGAGTGAAATAGTTTATTACTCTGGAGTTGAACGGGTCGTACCCCTTGCAAAGGGGAAGCAAAGTAGCAATGGGCAACCAGGGGTTTGGTCTCACATATATGCAGTTTTTTATAGCCTTGTTCAGTGAGAAGGCTGCAACAGAATTATCTCTTATTCATACTTTGTTCTCAGTAGCTGTTTTGAAGGATTCCTGGTAATCTGTAGAGCAGCCGCCTTCCAGGTTTTGGGCAGGAGGCAAACTGATTAATCATTTGTTGACACAGTAGAGTTCCATGGCCTGGTTGTCTAAAAGACTTGTCTGATAGCAGGCCACCCACAGTCTTTTCATTTTACACATGGTAGGAGAAACTGCCAAAGAGCAGGAGAAGAACGCAGAGTACTTTGGGCAACCCTTGAAGTTGGGCTGACTCATCTAAGGCCCATTTTTGGGACTTTCCCTGTTCCCGCTGTCCAGTGCATCCTGTTTTTGAGCCTGTTGAAGCTTGTGATGCGACAGAGAGAAGTTTTCCTGTTGTGCTTACAGCCTGGCAGAAATTTTTGCTTTCACTTTTGCTTTCCCTTTCAAGCCATGACCAACAAATACAGGACGTTATCTTTCAGTAGAGCTTTGAGTGAAATCCAGTAAAAGTGCAAAGCCAAGATCAACTGTTACATTAAAATTGTCTTGGAACAGTCTAATATATAACAATTAGGATACCGAGTCAGGTCTCAACATAATCTATGATACTTTTCCTACAAAAATTGGAATGGGAGCTAAGACAGGAATTTTGTATTGATATTCCTTGAGATAAAAGTTTCCCCCTTAGACTGTCAGCCTGTGATTCTATAGCTGCTTATTAAATACCTAAAATAAATACTAGGTTTTGTACAGTCTGTGAGAAGTCAGTGACTCTGCTTGTAAGCATACAGTATAATCAAACAGATTGTAGCTTATGCCATTGTCTCAATGGCTGCAGAAATTATTCCATCTTGGATTAGTTTCATCTGAGCAAGTTCCATGTAGAATAAGAAGAATTCAGAAGCTCTAAATGAGATAGGTAGACCACCATTTGGGCCACACTGCCCATGTTACAATTCTTGCTCAAAGGGCCCTACACTGAAAGCACTTCTGTGTACTTAGTTTCTTCTTCTTGGCTATAAATCTTGGTCCCTGGGAATACACGTGCTTTTCCTTTGGCTTAGAAATAAGAAATTAACAAAGCCTTACATTTGCATTCGCCCTCCTCCCAAGATTGGAATGTTCTGGTTCCTAGGTCGTAGCGGGGAAAAATATTGAATCTTCAGGTACCTGAGAGTTTTGCAGCACTGTTAAGTCACACAGCTGAGCTGACTGTAACCATTGCTGTCAAAACTCACCCTTATTTGTTTTTATCCTGGTGCATCTACACTAAGATTATGTTGAGATTTATTTTGATGTCTCTTCTTAGAACTTTTTAACACACTTGAGTTTTTGTACAGACAGTTCTAGTTCAGGGCCCAGTCCATTGATAGTGTTCTTTTGTGCAGGCCACACGTAAACAGATGAGCATAAGCTTGCTCTAAGTAGCACTTAAATGTTCCCTTAAATGAGTCCAGGGCTGTTTGAGGCTACAGTGGAATGACAAAGGGCTTGCTAGAAGCTCCCACTGCAGAAAAAAAGAAAAATTGTTTAGGAAGAATTAAGAAGCGGGATACTTTGCTTTTACCATTGTTGTCCTTTAAAAAATATTTTTTATTGTTCATATACATTTCCTTTTACAAAAATAGTTTTTTATTTAAACAGAAAGAAATCCGGACATGTCTTGAAAAACCTGCTTTTGTAAATATCGCTGAGGAGAGTATGGTGTTTCTTAGCAGAATGTCTGATGCCATTTCACATGGTATTCTAGCTGTTTCAGCACCAAAGATGACCTAAATGTGGACTGATTGAAAGCAGTGCTGTTCCTTGGAAATAGATGGCATCTGCATCTCTGGAACTTTCAAGTGTGCAGTCACTGCTTGCTAATCTTTTTTGTCTGAATATAATCAGCCTTTGTAAGAGTCGCCTTTGATGTACGATCCTATACATCTCTTCTCAGAAATGAGTTCTATTTGGTGTAGTAGAACTTGCATCCAAGGAAGCTTATGTAGGATTTCAGCTTAATCTGTCAGAGGAAATAGCTGTTTCTTAATTTTATTTCATTTTTATTCTGCCCAATAGCTGAGCCTGTCTGGCTGGTTAACAAAAGTTAAATGTACCTTCCAAATTTTGCAGTACACAAGAGAGAACTTGCATTCTTAAGACATAGGCCTAGAAGAAAGATTTGGACAGAATAGTTAGGATGTTTCAGGAACCTGGATGTTTACAGCTGACAATAGTGGCCTGGGAGTCTGATGACTGCAGGGCTCCTTGGAAAGGCCTTCCATTGCTTCCACTCTGAAGGGAGACGGCATTTGGCATAATAGAAAGCGCTTTGGCTATTGAGTGGCATAAAAATGAAATAAATAAGAGACGTGAGGTGAAGTTGCTCTAGGTCTGTGGGGAGCAGCATGGTGAATTGGTTGCCCACCGACAGAACCTGGGTGCATGATGTGCTGAAGGGTCAGACTTGGTGGGCAAGGCAGGCTTCCGTGACCTGCTTTGAGCCTTTGTTAGGGAACTTCTGGCTGCTAGTGTGAGGACAAGGGAATGCCAGAGATGCACATTGCTAGAAAGAAGATTCTTCAGGCATTTAGATGTGGCTGTTTTGTTTGTTTGTTTGTTCCAGTGCTGCTGAAACAGACTTTTCTCCCTTGCCTGCAGCCAATAATGGCAGTTATTCAGTTGCCAGCATTTTGGAAACAGATTGAGCACAGCACAGTAGCTGAACAAAGCACTTATTCCAGAAGGCCTTTGCAGAGCTGGAGCCTTTCAAAATGCTTTCACATGGGATTAATGTGCCGTTGTTATTGCTGATTTGGTGAAGTCCAGGTCCCTTTCTTCAAGACAGCGTTTACGTCAAAGGGATACCCTGCCCTCCTGTTACATGGCCTAGGATAGATTAGCTCGACGAGAGAAGCATGTTTGTTTCCTTATGGTCCAGAAAGGCACCTGCACTCCAGCAAAAATGAACTGACTACACGAGCTTGCATCTGTTTCTTTCAGGCGGGAGCAACGTCCATGTGGGCTTCCTGTTGTGGGTTGCTGAATGAAGTCATGGGGACTGGAGCTGTTCGAGGCCAACAACCTGGATTTGGGGGTGGGGCAAACCCATTCAGGTTTGCACCAAGTACAGACTTCACCGTGTATACCTCTTCAGCAGCCGGAGGAGCAAATCTAGTCTGTAAATCTTGTGGTCTCTCATTCTCAGTGTTCAGGAAAAGGGTGAGTAAATGGCATTGTATAATTTGAATACGATCAGTGACAACGCACCTCCATTTTCAAACCTCTGTACAGACATCAGAAAGGGAGACAGTCCCTGCCCTTAAGATGAGCATGGGGAGTGTCCTCTTTAATTCAGAACAGAGGAACACATCCCTTTTCCACTCACCTGCAGCCCTGTGAAGGATGCATGTCCATGATCAGCGAGCCCACCGTTGGCCATGAGGAGGAGGACCTGAGGCCCAACAGCTCCAAGAGCGCCAGTCCGTGCTGTATGCGCGCGACATTTCCCCTTGGTGCTGGCCACGCCTGCGACAGTCACGCAGCCTCCGTTTGCCCCTCCGCCTTTGTGTGTGTCTGTGTGCGCTGCAGCAGTCGCGGGGGAGCCTTGGTGGCAGGGTTCACGCGGGCTGCGTGTTGGGCATTGTGTGAGAGGAATGCCGGGCTGGATGGACCCTGGCTCTGACCCAGCCGGGCTGGTTTGTTCTTCTATTTTAGCATGTCTGCTGTGAGTGCAAGAAGGATTTCTGCTCCATGTGCTCAGTCTTCCATGAGAACCTCCGAAGATGTTCTACCTGTCAGTTGTTACAGGAGACAACATTCCAGCGGCCACAGCTGATGCGCCTGAAGGTGAAAGATCTGCGCCAGTACCTGGTTCTTAGGAACATCCCAACAGATACTTGTCGAGAAAAGGAAGACTTGGTGGACCTTATCCTGTGCCATCACGGATTGGCTTCGGAGGAGGATACAGACACTAGCAGCTTGTATTCGATACGGTCACAGACCTCTAGTTTTTCTACACATCCCATTTCTCTGTCAGGATCGATGTCATCCTCTCAGGGAGAACTTGCAAACAGGCATGAGAGCACAGGAAGTGAAATGCAGTTGCAGGTGTGTGGGTAAACCCTTCTTGCCCCGGGGCAGGGCTGGAAGTTTTCACTGCAGTGCAGACAGAATGCATCCACGTGCTTCTGCTTGCTGGCTGGCAAAGAGCGAGATGGTGAGGGGGAGTAGTAATTTCCATGCGTTTGTGTATGTAGGGACAGGGCGAGAGACTTTTGGCAGATCTTGGTGAAGAGGAGGAAAGTGCAGAAGGGCAGGTAAGATGTGAATTGTCTGGGAAAATGTTCCCAACCGTCCACATTAAAATTGTTCTTTCATAGTCTGTCTTGTAGCAATGTAAGACTCACATATTGACATTTTCAAACTACAGTCTTGCTCTGAAGTAGTGATCAAACGTGTCAGTATTTCGGCATTCAGTGGCCATAGCGGTCTTGTGGAGCACGCAGTTTTAATGCCAGCTGTTTATTTTGCAACGCATGATGATGGTGTGTGATTTCAGACACCAGGACAGTCCCGGAAGCGTGCAAGAGCCTCACTCTCGGATATTTCCAGCCTGGATGATATTGAGGGGCTAAGTGTTCGCCAGCTGAAGGAAATACTTGCTCGTAACTTCGTGAACTACTCGGGATGCTGTGAAAAATGGGAGCTGGTTGAGCGAGTGGGCAGGCTGTACAGGGAGAATGAAGCAAACCACAGGACACGTAAGTGCGCCGGCCTTGGAATACGCTTGCCGGGGGTTGGAGGAAGGGGAAGAGAATTCCTGCGGCGGGCAGTCCTTGCACACTGATATGGTATCAGTCCCAAGTCTCAAGGGCTGTCCTGACCTCTTTCCTTAACGGTAACAAATGAGAATTCAGCAGCGGAACGTAGCAGCTGCTTTAACTGCAGGCTTCATCCTGCTTCTCCATCCGGTATGAACAAGCCGGCGCCGAAGCAGCTTGGCATCTTCATGCTTTGTGTGTGGGGTCACAGTCTTGGCAGAACTCCCTCTTTGTAACTGTGGCTCCGTTGCTCCTTGGCAGAAGGGGAGAAGCCTCCGCTGAGTGACGAGGATGACAGCCTCTGCAGGATCTGCATGGACGCGGTGATAGATTGCGTGCTCTTGGAATGCGGCCACATGGTCACCTGCACCAAGTGCGGCAAGCGCATGAACGAATGCCCCATCTGCCGCCAGTACGTCGTGAGAGCGGTGCACGTTTTCAAGTCATGAGTGGTACAGACGATGGCTGCGGGCTGCCCACTGTGCTTGCTGCTCGAGTGGGGTGCTGGCCATGGCAGTCACCACTGGAGACTCTGTGGTAAACCTCAGTTTCAGTAACTCATAGCATTTGGAACAGAAGCTTAGGAGCTTGACCACTCTGGCGGTCGGATGCCTTGTTGAGGATAGAGCTGTGTGAACTGCATTAAACCAGAAACTGTTTTGAGTCAAACTTGCAGCAGCAGATCTAGTACAACTCATTGCTCTCTTCTGAAGAATAGCACATATTGAAGGGTCAGGGTAGAACACTGCCTTTCCCAGCAGAAGAGAAAATAGGACGCTGTCCATGTGCATTTCAAGTCAGCGCATGGTCCCATGCACCAGCCTACTGCACTCTCAGTGGAATGCAACTGGACTCTTTCCTGCTCAGATGTGCCCCCACACCCTCCAGCAGACAGATGGGCGAATGTTTGTGGCATGAGGTCTCGTAGCCAGGTCATTCTATATGTATTGAAGTGCAGTGGCCTTAATCCTACTCTCTAAATACTCTCTACCCAGTATTTGACACGAGAGGGAATGTGTGGGGTTTCCTGGTTCAAAAGCCCATTTGTGACTGTTCCTATCTAATATTCCGGAAAAATTTTGACAATGCATATAAGCTAATGTGATTGCTCAGTAGCTGCATTGAAGTTCATATTCTCCTGAATAGGGACTAAGGCCCAGCATATTTACAACTGATGCTAAGCCGCCTGCTTAATAGGAAAGCCCTTCGGAGCTTTCTTGCATATTAGTCCCACTTCAGTTTTCTAGAAGGTACTTTAGCTAAGGTAGCATCCGGTGTGAATGACTGGAAGTGCAGCTGTTTCAGGGTCTGGTTGCAGGATGTGTCTTTAGCAGTGGCACTCACTGGGTGGGAGCCCCACTCCATGATGGCTGTGGGGAAGGGCAAGATGTACATAGTCATTAGAGCCTTAATTTGACCACTTGCATTTTGGAGCTGAGGGAAGCATTTGAAAGCAGTAGCTAAATTAAGGAAAGGGAGAGCCTCTACCAGTGAAAGTCACAATGTTTTGGTAGAGGCCCCGCATCTTCCTGATGTACTGCCTACCTTAAATGTGACGATGGCAATCCTACCAAGTCCAGAATGTCCCACAAAGAGGTGCCAGAGTTCCTTTATTGCACAATAGACAAGTATTACTGCTTTGCATCTGAAAAGCAGTGCTCCAACATAATTGCACTGCTTGTGTGAGTTAAATACCCTGGAAGGCTCGAAACTGGCATTTCTTAGCCTCCAGCCAAAACAGATGAGATGATTTTTCATACTTTGAAATTGACTTATTTTTCAGAAGGGAGCAAGACATTATGGCTTTATTTTTAGAAAGATCTTTTTAAAGGTGCAGAAAATCAAATGATCAAGCCCTTGTTCAGGGGTAGATGCCTCACCAGAACGTAGCATATCCATAACATTCTGAACAATGGCTATTGACTTAATAAACATTTTGTTAACTGGCTTTGGTTGTTTTGTGTTTTCACTTGCTTAAACTTCTCCAGACAAATTGGGTGGGGGACAAAGATTTCCAAACCTTTTTCAAGCACCACCCTGAAGCTTTAAGAGGTTATTCCCTTGAAGCTTGTACAAGGTTTGCTCACATGTTTGCCAGGCGGTTATTCCCCCCTTGTTTATACCTTTAGAAACACGTATACAACTAATGAAGGAAAGCCAACAGAGGACTCCTCCTTCCTGGTAAAGATTGTGACCTTGCAAGAAGTGATTTAGACTGCTTTTTAGAGGCAGGGACTCAAGTTCTGCCTTCAGGATAAACGTCTACAAAAAAGGCCCCGGAGCACCATGGTGTACCAGTTTCCATCTTGTCATCTACAGATGAACAGAATGCACAGCTAGCCTCTCCATTTTTGTACAATCATTTATACAAATTGAACAGAGGTAAACTGTATGAGGAAGGAAGGTCTATGGAGGGGGAAACACCACTTTACAACAATGGCACTTATGTATACTGAATTGTTTCCCCCCGTTTACTTTACAATCTGGAATCAACCAGTTTAAGTCTTAAAACAAGAACATATTCAAAAAACAAAACTGCTTAATTCATGGTATAAATCAATCTTGTACAGCAAGTACAAATGTTGTAATACCTTTTCTTGTGTATAGCTGTAACTGGAAGTTTCAAAGTTGAGAAAAGGTGAATTTTATACCAGAAAACTTGGCAACATCTTCATTCTTAATCTGTATCACACCTCTTTTTGACAACATGCTTCGATTGTTCCCAGAGTATACAAAGCAGTATATAAAACTTCCATTAAAACATGCTTTTTCCATTGCAAAGTATTAATGTATTTCCCCACCCCCTTCCCAACTGGGGTATATCTATTAACTGGTCACTTCTCTAGTAAGAGGTTAAAGTTCTTTCCTACCTCAAGATAACCTGGCAATTTGAAACCCAAAGACAAACACTTGCAATGTATTCAAGAACTCTGCATAAATAATTTTAAACAAATTTGTACAAAAATAGTTCTGCATAATGTAGGATGTAACAAAAAATGTTCAAAAGGCAGAAACGCAGGGCATGACCCACCTTAATGACACAAGAATTAACATTGCTTTGATACCTGCAAAAATGCTTGAAGAATTTACACCTGCCCCAGCTGTGGCATTTAAATAAATGTACCCCCGTCTTCCTCTGGGCATGAACAATCCTTTGCTGTCACCACAGGAAGGTACATGAAGGAGCTGGATGGAGTATCGTGATCCCACCCAGGCTGAAAGAGTTTGTGGGTGGTTTGAACATCATACATACCTGTACAATCCAAACCACCAACCCTTGGCATTTTCAGCATCTCCAAAGTGAAATTCCTTCTGTAAGCTTCTGGAGCCCCGTTTCCACTTCACAGCTATTTACAAAATTTCTCTTGTAAACACTAACTCAACTTTTGCAGCAATTTCTCTTCCACTTGACTAAACTGGACACTCACAGACATCTCCGCTATGAACTGTTCACACCCTTCCTTGGTTACTTGCTTGCAGTACCGTAGATTGATCCGGCATATGCTTCCACAGCGCTTGAAGTAGGAGAGACACTGGTCTGTCACCTTATTGCAGTCTGCCAGGGAAGAGACAAAGGCAGGGAGGAAGGATGTCTTATGACAATCGGGCCCGAACTGTTGCTGCGAGGTGCGAAGGCCTCAATGCACCAACGCACCCGCCCTAGAAGGCTTCGATGCTGTGCCTGCAAGACTACAGTTCTGGGCAAACCATCTGGGCTAAAGCCGGGTGAAGCGTCTGCATGAACTGCAGCGGGAGAAGACTTCAATCAGTCCGTGCAGAGGCCTCCAAGGAGGGCATGCTGCCTCCGTGCGAAAGCACTGCTGTCAAATTGCCGCTTCCCTCATCTACAGCTAATCCCTAATCTTTGGATAGCGACCCAGGCGGAAAGCAAAGGTGAGGGGAAGAAGTACATCCATGGCAAAGGTGGTCCTGGCCCTTATTTTACCCCAAAGTGGATCTTTAACTTTGTAAAGTGCCTCACTTCAAAGGAGTTACAGGAGTGCCCTCTTTTCCCACCCCATGTCTATGCTTCATATTATATGGAAAGGCTCATCAATATGGAGCAGGGAACAGAGCTTTCTCGGTGCAGCTGGTTGTCCGGGAAGGATGCCCAAAGACAAAGAGGGCGTTAGAGGGCTAAACTTCGGCCACTGGGCTGTTTTCTCAGTCATGTTTTTGCTTTGCGTGTGGGACTTGCCCAGCCGGACTGGCCATACCCCAAGCCCCACATACCTTGCAAAATCACTTCCGTCAGAGAATCCCGTGTGGTGGTCCCCACGGCTGTGAGCAGGTTAATGGACTGATCCGTCATGTGGTTGCAATAGCTGAGGTTGAGCTTGGACAGGAGGGGCATGTGCCTGATAATCAGGCGCAAGGAAGCATCTGTGATATCCAAGCCTGACAGGCGGAGCTCTGTGATGTTGCGCAGTTTGCTCCGGTTGTCAATTTGGCCTTTCAACAACAAGGAGAATGATTTGTGATTAGTTGCTTTGCATGGGACTTGCCAGGCTGGGCTATAAAATGGCAAAAAGAGTAACATGGAAGGAAAGGCAAACCTTTTTAAAAGTTTCTAGATTCAAAACAGGAAAGTTACCATAAAGAGTTTTAAGCGCTCTTTAATTAGCGGCTGTGTTAAAGGTGCATTTTGCACAAGAAAACAGTAACTAAAATGCAGGTCCTCACCCAAGCATTAATCAAGACCTGGCTCCACCTTCACCTAATTTTCCAATGGAAAAGTTCATTTTTAAAAACATCCAGGCAAGCAGCAGAACCATCTGTATCATGTTAAGCTGCCATGTTCCGGAAGGCCTGGCACTGCACCAGGCACCCCATTCCCTGCCTCATCAGCCTCTGCAGCAGGCCCAGGGCCTGCGTGCAGGGAGCGGTTTCATCAGAGCTGGCAGAGCGTGCGCACCTGGCCTGTTGTCGGTTGGTGGTGACAGGAGGTCTCTCATCTGTGCATCCTTCAAGCCTTCCACCCACTGCGCATCCAGTGTCCGGAGAAGGGGGCAGCTGGAACTGCAGAGCGCAGACACTGCGATCCAGGAACACCCCGACAAGAGCAGATCTCTGAGACCTGGGGAGAGCAGAGAGGAACAAGAGCTAAGCACAGGCATGTCTGTGGCCCCACTGGCGGCACGGTTTTCTCCCGCAGGGGCTGAAACACGTTTGTCACATATGCTAGGCGCCACCCCATAACCAACCCCACCCAGCAAGGGCGGCTTGGCATCATTAACAAGCCACTTGACCCTGGAAGAGCTCACAGGTTCTGGGTAGTTTATTACCCACACCACCTCCTCTCAGTCAGGTCTGGATGACTTGACAACCTACAACTGGGCCTGGGTTATGAAACGGCTGGCCACAGGCACCCAGCACGTACGGAAAACATGCCCGTTTGTTTGTGCTACTGTGGCTGAAAATATACCCTGTAGGTATTGGGGAGGGGAGAACAGAGGCGAAGCTGCGATTCTGCTCCCACAGTACAAGTCAGCAGATCCCACCATGAGTTGAAGAACCGAGTTCAGCCCAAAGCTGAAATTCCATTTGGAGAAGTACTTTAATGCCAGCTTTCCGGGGTGGGGGTGGGGGGGGGCAAAAGGGACAGGGCCAAAAGACCAACACGTTTTAGAGTAAAGCCCTTACTGCTAGTAACTAAATACGAAAGGAGGCAGGTTGGCCCTTTAGAGTGAGAGGAACCCCACAGAAAAGCTGGGTGGCTGGGGAAAACGTGGCGGGGCATTCTGGGAAGCCCTGCATTATAGCGTTTCCTGCCCCAGACCATCAAGAGACACTATTTATTAAAACATTTCTATGCCGCCCCTTGCCAAGGCCTCAGGGCGGCTTACAACATCAAATACAAAATACATTAAAACAATAACAATTAAAATATATACTAAAAAATACTACTGTTTCTGCATGCCACGAAAGCCCACCATGGATTTATTTACCCACAGGGGCTGTTCCCTCACACCAGGAGCCAGCAGGATCCGTTTCTGCACTGCACCCCAAAGTAACTATGGGTTGTTACGTGATGCAAACCCAGAGGATGGGCTCTTTGAGGATGTGACAACCTTAACAGAAGCGAGAGCTTGTTCTGAAGTCATCCAAGGCTTGTCTAACCCTCAAACAAAGCCTGCCACTTGGACTCACATGACACAGCACTCCAGATCAAGCTGGACCTCATGCAAAGCAGTGCCTGACAAAGTGACAACCCTTGGACTGAAGTCAGGTTCTGGAGCCCAGCCTATTTCCTCCACGGCCAAAGTCCCACGGCCAAGGAGACCGTGAACCGGAGATGGACGTGACAGTGGCCATGCGAGGCAAGTCCCCAAGGCCAAGGAATGCCGCTCCAGAGCCCGCGACAGGACATTCCATGAAACCCCCCCGGGCGACACGGGCCAGTCCCTCACACTCGGCTTGCTCTGTTCCACAGGGTGGCTGTTGCGAGGATGAAATGGAGCTATGCAAGCCACCCTGGATCCCGCGCGAGAGGAAAACACTGGGATATAAATGCAGCCTACGACTAATAAAATAGCAGCATGCAGCTCCCTGAGCCTCCGGGTGCAGAAATGCAGGCCTGGGGAAATCCGTGGCTCGCTCTCCCGGCTCGTGCCCAGCGTGCCACTTGTGGCAGTCAAGCGGGGTGGCCCACAAGGCAGGGCTGTGGACAGCGGCAGAGACCGGCTACGGAGGCTGAGAGTCCCAGCTCTGGACCTCAGTGGATCTAGAGACCGGATTGTGTGAGCTCATGAAGTGTCCCCCACCCCACAAAAGGCACCTGCGTGTTGAAGAGGGTCTCCACCTTGTCAGCCAGCCCAAACCTCAGCAGACCATGTTGAGGGACGTACCTGGGAGTCTGTTGATGAGCCAGCTCAGCTGCTTTTTGGATATGTTTGTCCAGCTCAGATCAAGGGTGACGGGCTGTCGCCTAATAATGCCACTGAGCATGAGGGGGGTGATGGATTTACAATGGTTTAGGTCTATCTTGGTCCACAGTCTTTTGTCACAGCACCTGAGGAGAGCGGGCAAAGGGCTCGTAAGAAAAGCTGGCTGAGCTCTTGGGACGCACAAAGACCAACACAATTTCTTTGCAACTTCAAAACCATTAGGGACCAGAGGGCGAGGAGCAGATCCTCAAATCTTGTGCAGGGAAGAGTGCTGACCCAGAACAGGGGTTCCACACCTTCTATTCCAACCAATGGTATGGAGACAAGCCCCCAAACCGGCCTCAGTCTGTTGTAAGCAGCCAGCCTGAACAGGGACTGGGACTCCCAAGGATGACTGCACAGGCTTTTTAAAAAAAAGCTGAGTAAGATGCTTAACTTAGGTCCAGCTCTAACACTCTAGAAACTAAATTTCACTAGAGAGAGAGAGCTCAAGAACCTAACTAGCATTAGAATACACAGCTCTCCCACAGAACTATTTAAAAATAAACTGGGCACAACACCCACACTTTTTTCAAGAAGTCATGAGGGCTAGCAGACCTGTTTTTTAAAAGCAAGACTTCTAAATTTTGGCAGGGCGTGCCAACGTCTTTGCTAGCTAGACTGTTTCGTGAGTCCCAGCCGAGGCCCTCGCACTCGCAGAAGCGCCTTCCCTCCTTCCTCCCACGGAGAGCCGGGTCCTCCCGCCCCAGCCGGGCTCCTTACCACCTGTTCCAGGTCCGGCAAACTCTCATGCAGACACAGAGCTCGCTGTGGCTGAGGTGGCGGAAGACAGCCATCCAGACCTCCCTCTGCATCACGTGGGCCGCCCCGTCGTCCAGGGGCAGCGAGTCGGGAGGGGGGCTGATGGGGGGCGGCCTGATGATGTGGCGCTCCATCTGGACACACTTGGGGGGCGAGAGGGAAGGGGGTGGCCGGGAGACAGCCTTGGGGGGGGTGCCGCTGCCGCTGCTGCGCAGGCTGGACAGAAGCTGGTGCCGGAGCTCCCTGGGAGTCCCGTTCAAGCTCTTGCTGCAGCGGTGCGGCCGCTCGGAGTCGAGCAGGCGCTTGGGCGCCTCGTTCTCGCTCTCGGGCTCGGACTTGATGGGCTGGTGGTTCTCGTTGGCCAGGCTGTTCTCCGTCTTCTGGATTTCCTGGTTGAGCTCCTTGCTGAGCTCCTTGCTCAGTTCCTTATTTGGGAGGCGGGCTTTCCGTCGGATCTTGAACAACTTCTTCTCTCGGGCCTCGGCCCCCTCTGAGCTGGGTCCTGCTGTTGGGGAGCTGGAACGAGACTGGTCGCTCTCTTTGCTTTTCGGCGGCTCTTCTGGGAGATCCTCCTCAATCTCCTGCTTGAAACGCCGCAGGGGCTTGAGCAGTGGGGTTCGGTCGTCCGCGGCTTTCCATGATCGCCTCTGGAGAGAGAGGTTTTTGGCTTAGTGGAAAAGGCAAGAATGGGGCAGAAAAAACCAAATCCTGGACGCACCTACTCTACAGACGAAATCTGCTTTAAAACTTTTTTTTAGTGGAGAACCCTAGAATTTTTAGTTCCAGCAAGAGACCCTGGATCTCTTAACCAAGAGATTTTCAGCACTTTTCACAAGGAATCCTGGGAATTTTGGGTCATTGACATGGCTTAGCAAATTGAGATTTGTAGTCCAAGGAGGAGCCTTCTTCAATACCTCAGGAACTCAAAGCACCGATTCACAAAATCACAAGAAGTGGACTCGAATGTGAGCTGATCAGAGGAGGAATAAAGCCACACAAATAATATACTGAAATTCTATCCTTCTCACAGCTTCTATGCTAAAAGCCTCTGCTTAACTGATGCAAGAATTGGCTTTCATGGCTAGTGGGCATCATTCTTATCCTTCTTGGTGGTGAGAGCAGTAGGCCTGCACCAAATATCAGATTTCAGGTGTATAGTCTATTTTTTAAAACATTTCCTCATATTCATAACTGGCTCCTTCCTAGAGCATCATAGCAGGACAAAAATGTAAAAATCCACACAAATTAACGACCTACCTTTTTCCTGAACAGTTTCTCTTCTTTGCCCAGTTTTAGCTACAGTGAGAGAAGAAAAAGGAAGATGCAGATATTTAGCGACAAATCTATCAGCGCAACAGAGTGGCAAATGCTTCAATGGAACGTTCCAAGGGCTCAAGGGCTCCAGTCCTACACTCTCGATGTTTTCAGTGACAATTCCAATCAGTCCCGCCCAGAATGGCCAGTAGTCGGGGGCTGTGGAACTGTTTCTCCTAGGCTCCCTCACACCCCCTCCCCCCCCACAAGGAGGGGCTCCTGCAGGCCCCGGGGGGGGCACCCTCCTGGGTCTTACCCGCTTCCTCATGGTGGGCTCCTGGGGCTTTTCAAATTTCCTTTTCCGCCGCAGGTGCGCTTCCTCAGACTTCCTCCGCAAAAGAGGGTCGAGGGGGGGCTTCTGGGGGCGCTCGTCCAGCTTCTTCCGAGGGGGCTCCTCGCACTCCACTTTCCGCTTGGTGGCCTCTGGGACAGCCTCCTTGTTTTCTCGGTTGATCTTCTGCTCTTTGAGTAGGGAGCCGGGGAGGTTTGATGCGTACTTGAACCCTGGTCCGCGCTTTTGCTTGTACGCCAAAGAGAGACAAAGCACACGAGCAAACTTTATACCTTATGCCTTTTCTCCATGGCCTGCACATGGCACAAGAAAACCGATCCTGCTGAACTTTGTGGCTGACAATCTCGTGCCCGGATGGGCTTCTCCCTCCTCTCTGCTAATCCCCCTTTCCATTTGTCTTACGTCTTTTAGACTATAAGCTGCCTGGCAGCAGCCGCTTCACCTGTCTTCAAAACCCACTCTGGAAAGCTTTTTCTGGATGAGGACAGAATAAAAGATGCTTTGAAACATAAAGCCCAAACAAGCCATCTTACTGGCATTAACCAGATCCGTTACTAAGGGCTGGTTCACACCTAAATTGACAGTAGGAGAAAGTTTTGTGGGTTAGCTTGAGTATGCCACTGGAGTAACTACTAACCAGCCGCTTCTCTGACAATCCTCAGCAAAACAGATCCAAAAGCCCACGGGGAGCACAGAAAGGGTCCAGCATTGCCCCATGCCCTTCTCAGACTGGAGGCGGCTTCATCCATATTCCAAGAAGTGCCACCTGGAACTCAGGGAACTCAGCTCTAACCCGGATGGAAATCCTCTGGCAGTTAAGACTGCAACTTGGCACAGGTAACACTGGAAGCTACCTAGGACCGGTCAGATTGCCCACTTGGCCTGATCCAGCATTCCTCAACCCGGTGTTCACGCCAGATGTTTGACTGCTGCCAGCCCCAGGCAGCATGGTCAATGGTCCAAAATATCAGGAGTGGTCGTCCCACACATTTAGAGAGCACCAGGCTGGAGAAGGCCGGCACAGGAGAATCTCTGGCACCCTGGAATAGGGGTGGGCAAAAGGCTGGTCTCCAGACATTTGGGACTTCAGCTCCCAGAAGCCCCTGCCTGTACAGCCACCACTGGAATGCTGGGAGCTGGAAGGCCCAGACATCCGAAGATCTGCTTTCTGCCTAGCCCTGTCCACATTCAGAGACCTCCATGCCAGGCAGGACAGTCAATTTCAGAAGGGAAAAGCTCCTGAAGGGCAGGAGCCTCCTTCCTGCGAAGACTAGAGCTCAGTCGTGCTTAGCAACGAGAAGCCACCTCCTGCAGCACCCCAAGGCATGATCGAGGCGGCCCCGAGGCCCGAAAGCGGCCCCTCAGCGCAGGCACTTCATTCCGGTGAAACTCACTTTTCCAGTTTTGCCCGCGTGGTTGCACTTGGGGCATTCCCAGCAGTTTGGAAGCTCTTCGTTGACCACGCCGTCGGATTCCCGCACCTGGGGAGACAAAGGCACGCCATGGAGGTGTGGGCCACCCATCCATATACAGCTAGGGCAGGGCGGACGCAGCGCTTGAATTCACCAACTGCACTGCTGCCTGGCATAATTTATGCACATCAAGTTTCTTCTAATGATTATGTAGGACAAGGAAATCTTTCCGTCCCTGGAAGCTTTGAAAAGTGTATTCTGCACCTTACGTGCTCTGCACTGGCACCATCATCAACCCCACCCATTTTCGCTTCCCTGCCATGAGGACTAGGAACCAACCATGGCTGCAGTCCGGTGCGCACTGAACTGGCAGGAAGCGCTACTGAATGCACTGGGCTCGGCCTCTGAGCGAACACGCACAGGATTGTGCTGTAAAGATCCTACAGAGAAGCTGGCAACAACTCCTCTGACAATGACCCAGCAGTAGGTGGACACCCACTATATACAATGAGATCTAGCACCACCTTTGCCTTATGCAGCCAGTGAAACACTAAGCATTTTAAAATACACAAGCGGGGGGGAGAGAGGGAGAGGTTCTGCTTGAGAAAAAACAAAAGCGGGCTGGGGTGAGCCCGTTACAGAACCTCAGGGACTCACGGCTGTGTGAGAAGAGAGGCAAATCCGGACTCTTCACCCACCTCCATGATGGAGAGGCAGCCCTGGACTTCTGGCTGCAAGCATCGAACCGCCAGGGGCAGATCCTGCCCCGCTGCGTCGCCCCTGGGCTGTGGTTTGCTGGACAGGCCCTGAGGACAACTCCGCCCATCTAAAACGTGAGGCAGGACGCGCCTTGTCCTGGGGGCGGCACCGACCTCCACCTCCACACAGAAAGGGGCCTCCTGCTCCCCCTCACCTTAAGGCATCCAGGGTGTATGATTTCGTTGCAGATGGAGCACTCCATGAGCATGAGGTTGAATTTGCTACCCTCCTCTTCCACCGTGTCTTCCTTGCCTGCTTCCCCGCACACCAGACACACGGCTGTGTGTGGCAGCACCGGCTGTACATGCGAAGGGAGAAAGAGAAAGGGGTCAAGAAACAACAAGCGACTCATCCGCACAGACCCTGGCGAGTCCGCCACCCCGCCACAGCTCTCCGCTCCTTCTGTGGCTGGCTTCAGTGGCAGTCCCCACAGCCTCCCCGCAACCCCGGAGGAGCCCTGGTGCTTGAACCCAAATGGTGCCTCTGGGACTCAAGCAGGGGAACGGCCCTCGCCTCTCCTCACAAATCTGGGCCCGCAGCTAGGAAGGAAGACGCGGTCTCAAGTGAAAATCAGCTCAGCTTGGAAGGAGCGAGGCATAGGCTAACTCCAGGCCCCGAGAGCACCTGTGGCTGAGGTGCATCACCTTCCTCTGTTCCTCAGAGAATGGCAGTGTCCAGCGGGTTTCCAACGGCTAAACCAAAGGGGGAGTCCTGTGTTAGACGCCTGGCCTCTACTCTCTCAAAGCACCAGAGCTTTAGAGAACACGCCTCAACTTGGAACCCGCCAGGTCAGCTTGGAATTCTGGGAGCTGCGGCCCACACATCTGGGGGCACCAGGCTGAGGAAGGCTGCTGTTCAGTGACAGATTCAAGCCACAAATACCTCTTAGACCAAGGAAAAATCGTCTAGAAAGCAAGAAACGGAGGGAGGAATCAACCTCACCCATTCAGTGGAGAGACACCCATGATACGGTGTCAGAGCAGTCACAACCAGCCAGGCACGCCTGGCCCAGCTGTGCAAGGAAGCCCACAGACGTGGCGACGGGACGGCTTCAGGGTGCCGGGACGAAATACCAGCTCCGCCTGCCGGGCGGTGCAGGCTCAAGCCGGGCCAGCGAAACGGGACGGTGGCTGCCTGTCAAAACGAGCCGAAGGGCTGACGCGACAGAAGAGCGCGCTATATATAGGCTGCGTGCGGGCCTGGCTCATGCCCCGCAAGCAGCGCCGTTCGCAGAGGCCCGCCCGCCCCCGCCCCGCAGGGGGCTTACCGCGATGCACTGCCTCATAATGCACGACTGCTTCATCCTGCCGGGCCCGCCAAACTTCTTCATGTCCTTGCAGAAATGGCACTCGCCACACTCGGTACGCAGGCAGGCCTCGCACTTGCGACATCGTGTCCTCCTCCGGCGGGCTCCTGCCGTCGTCCGGTTCGCGGCGAGCTTCACGGCCGAGGCGGGGCCCAATTTCCCTTTCGGTCTCCCGACTGCCCGGTTCTGTGAAAGACAAGCAGCAGCAGAGTCACCTCTGAAACTCGCCCAAAGAAACCGCCAAAACTGAAAACTGGGACAAACATCAGAAAATCATTACTACTTTTCTTTATTTCTATCCCGCCCAATAGCCAAAGCTCTTTGGGCAGTTCGTCACAGTTAAAACCATTAAATAGAAGATAACAAACTATAACGTTTAGAAGTTTAAAACTACAGTGTGCATAATTAAAAACAAACAAGCAGACGCTTGCAGCAGTGCAAAGAATTAAAACGCAGCAGCAGACTTAAAACAGAAACTGGAAAACTGAAACGCCTGGGTAAATAAAAAGGTCTTCACCTAGCACTGAAAAGAACACAATTTAACTGCCAGATGAGCCCCTCTGGGAAGCTCATTTCACAGCCGGGCAGAAAAGAGCCTCTTCTCAGCAGCCATCCACCTCAGCTCCTTTGGTGGGTTTTCCCAGAGAAGGACTGCTGAAGATGATCTTCCAGTCTAGAAAGGGTATACAGGAAGAGACGATCCTTCAAGTAAACCTGCCCCAAGTTGTTCAGGGGGTTGAGTGTTATCACCAGCATGTTGAACCTGGCCTGAAAGTGGACTGGCAGCCAGTGCGGGTGGAAGAGTCCAGGCATGAAATGGCCATGCCAGCCCCTTCCCAGTAACAATCCCATTGCCCTGTGTGGACCCGGCAGGCGATCCACTTGAGAGCTTATCAGAGCCCGGATACCTGGAGCTAGGCCATCTCTGTCCAGGTGAGAAGACCGCCGGCTTATCACCTGGCGAGAGGTGCTCAGAGTCTACCATGCTGAATCCAGGAGCACCCCAATCTACGAATCCGATCCTTGAGGGGGAGTGCAAACCCCTCCAGAACAAACTACAGGTCACTCAGCTGGGCAGACAAGCCCGCTCGGGAATAGGCCCGTCTTGTCTGGGCTGAATCTCCGTTCGTGGGCCTCACCCAGGCAGTCCACCGCCACATGCAGGCTCAGGCTCGGAAGACCCTCTGCCCACACTAGATCCGATGACACGGAGTGGAGGAGAGAGAAACAGCAGGGGGTGATCCATGTAGTGGTGGCACCTCAGCCCGTACCTTCAAATTACCCCAGATGTTGAAAAGCATGGGAGATAAAACAGAGCCTGGGACACACCTCGGCCTAACTTGCAAGGGACAGAGCAATAATCCACCAGCACCACCTTCTGGAATTGGTCACCTGAGGAGCGGCGGAACCGCTGCAAGTGCAGAAGCTCCAACTACCAGCCCAAGCAGCCCATCCAGAAGAACAATGATCCCAAAAGCTGCCGAGAGGTCCAAGGGGATTGCATTCCTCCATCGTTCTCCTGGGAAAGCTCATCCCGCAGGGCGACTGAGACAGTTTCTGTGTCAAAACTAGGCCTGAAATCTGACTGAAGGATCTAGATAATCATTTTCATTCAACCACCGTCTCTCCGCCAGCCCAGGTTGGTGCTCGCACTGCAGCGGGAGAGGAAACCGTCTAGTTCTTCCAGCCGGGTTTTATTAATATGCACCGGGATGGGCCCCTCATCCACAATCAACTTGGGAATGAGGCAGACTTTGAGCTGACCTGGCATCCAGCAGCAGCAACCAGACCTGAGGGCAAGCTGGCAGGGCAGCCTGGACCATCTGGTGGGGGGAGGACCAGAAGAGGGGAGAGGTATCGGGGTCTAACTCCCACTTCTCCTCTGTTCCCTGTTAGTCCCCCAGTGAATTTCCTAGGCACGTTACGTGTTTTGCTTAGACCGTTAAAGCTGCCACGAGGGCACAATCTGTAAGCCCCTGCACCAAGCATATACTGGGTTCCTTCACGGGCCCACCTTGGCTACTGTCCCCACAGACTCGGCTCTCCCCAGAGCTTGGGCAGAAAGGTCACACACATCCACTCAGCAATCCTTGCTCTCACCCAGGGAAGCCCAAATGTTGAAAGAAATTCCCATAAATTATCTTCCTGCTGTCTCTGCAACAAGATTATCCTTCTATTTCTACTGTTACTCTCCATTTTATTTATTTATACACATATTTATATGCCGCCTGTAACTGCCAAAAGGCCTTCCTAGGTGGCTTATAACCAAATGGGAGAACTGAGGCTGAGAGGAAGTGGCCTGCCAAAGCCAGGCAGTAGAGAAAGCACCCTTGGGAACCTGTCTTCTGGCATCCAGACAAACCTACTCTCTTTCTCCCCCTGCCCTGAGAGCATTAGGTTCTCCCACTCTCTGTTGCCCTTAGACAGAAGTTGTTCCTCTTCTTCTGTTTTCCCACAGTATGCTGGGTGGGTTGCTCCCTCAGTGAGAATCACAATTGCAGCAGATTAGAATACAAGCAGGTTCCCAAAGACCCTGGCCTACTGGCCCCCCACCCCTGGGAAGCAGAAGCGGCTAAACAAGCCAGGCCACCCAAACTCACAAGCCAACAGCAAAGCGCAGCTCACCTGGGGAGAAGCCAGAGGGCCCAGTTCCCACTTAATTTATTTTTTATTTATTTATTTATTAAAACATTAAAACATTAATGATAGCAAAGCACAGGTGGAGCCAGGGAGGGCTGCAGGGATGGCAGCTCCCTCGGCAGATTTCTGCACAGCTCCTGAGACGCTCACCCATGCCAAGACCAAGCCTTGGAAGGGGCTGCAGAAAGACCACAAGGAAGTAGCCAGGGCTCCCTGTCTGTGATGCATCCTGGAAGCCACCCACATAAAATGGGAGGCGGATGTCACATGACACCAGGCAGGCAATAGATTGCCGAGATAAAAAGACTCAAGGGAAAAGGTTGACCTCACCCCTGGAAGAGTCTGAGTCTGATCGCCGAAGGCCAGTGTCGGAAAGGTTTCTTTGACACATCCCACAAAGACTCTTCTCAACTGGCGGCCATCACAACTGTTCGCAGTCAGGTATCAGCACTGAGAGCAGAGATGTATCCCTTACGAGAACAGATTTTAAGTCCTGCCTTAGGTGTTCAGTCCTCAGCTGCTGAGGTGCAGAAGTCTTGAAGCAGCGGTGGTGAACCCGCCCCCAAATATGTTCAAAAACTCAAATTCCTACATTCCACGCTGCACAGCGCAAGAAAACAAATACTGCAGGCAGAGACACAGACCTGGTTCACGCATAAAGTTAATGCACAATTTGTTGCCCAAGTCAGGGGTCTCTAGCAGACAATAAACCCCCGCTCCACCCTGTACCCCAAAAGAACCACAGCACTGCCATGCAGAGCAGCTAGTATTCTTTCTGCTCTTGCGTCCCACCGCTGTAGCCTGGCAAAACCAACCATGAACAGCCCGCTGTTCTGGATTCACACCTAAGGCTTCGACGAATGGGGCAGCATAGAAATTTTCTAAATAAATAATAAATAATGACAATGCATGGCTTTAACAACACAAAGTTCATAATAACCAACCATGCGCTTTCTTTCTGGGTTGTTTTAGTTAACCAACCACAATTTGTTAGCATGGTTGGGTTCGCAAAACACAACAATCCAGAATTCAGTGTCTCTGGGTTAGCATTTCATGGCAGCTACGTCAATATGTCTATTTTTGAAGAAGTTTCATTTCATATACTATCCTGAGAAGTAGCTGTCTTAATATGTTGCAGCAAAGTCAACAATCTTCTTGCACCGCCTTAAAAACTCATTTATTCTGGCATCAGCTGTTGTGGATGCCACCTGTTTCTTCACTGGCTATGGCCTGTGAGGTGTCACAAGTGTCTTTGGAGATGCTTGAGAAGCAGAGGAGCAAGCCACATGCGGATCTTGCCGTAACCCTTCGAGGGTGGTTAGGCCAATCACAGGCACTCCGGCCCAAGCGTCCAGTGCCTGGCTGAGTGAAAATTTGGACCTCGGACTAAAGTTGAGATTAGTCTCAACTCCGGACTCTACGCCACATCAGCTGATAAGGATCACTGAGGGCCAGGCCCACCATTCTCAATGTCTGCACGAAGGAACAAGTCCACTGAATGCAGAGGGGCTTACTTCCTTATCAGCACGGGCAAAATTCTGCTCCAGGTGCCCGACACGAAATGAACTCCGAAAGTAAAAGTGGCCACCAGTTTTGTTCCCTTTCTCTCCAGTCAGAGCACGGTGAAAGGACGCTTGGTCTGGAGGTCAAAGGCCCTCGACCCACCCCTGGCAGGCATCTCTCCAGGTATGGCTAGGAAAGACACCCAGGTCTAGGGGGCTGGACAGACTAGCCTTCTCCAAGCACACGCTCTCAAAACGGCCACGGGCCATGCTGGGAATGATGGGAGCTGCAGTCCAGCACATCCAAAGCATCTGCTTGGAGGAGACTTAAGTACAGAGAATACTAAGCTAGAGGGACCGCCTCTAAAGCAGCTCTGTGGCTTAGAAATGTATTTGTTAAGCACTTGATATGCACCCGCCTTTCTACCAAACATAACGGCACTCAACACTAGTTACGTTTCATCCACACAACTTGATTTAAATAGTCAATAATCTAATGTTAAAGCAGAGTTTGGAGAGCAGGAGATGAAATGCAGCTTCTAAACCACCAGAACTGCATCCATGTGAGATTTTGTGGGCTAGAGTATATGTCACAGCATGTTTCCTTGGAAGCGGATCCTACTGCAACCAATAGGACTTGGCCTCCCAGTCAAGTACGCAGATGGGCAGGCTGCAAAACTGGGCACGTTTACCTCCAAGTAAATGGGCTGCAAATACTTGGGAATAATGGTCCCTGACATCACAGGCCTTGCTTCTGAATAAACTGAGAGCCAGGGTAGTGGCTAGACTGGGATCCCGGAGGGCTGGGTTCTAGTCCTAACTCAGCTCAGTCACAGACTCTCAGCCTAGCCTACCTCACAGCACCATTGTGAAGAAAATATTGAGAAGATTATGTAAGCCACCTTGAGTCCCTTGAAAGGAAAAAAAGGATGGGATATAAACACATAATAAACAAATGATTAAAATAAATATGACTAGAACAGGCTGTAAATCCCACTGCACTGAATGCAACATACACCCAGGTAAGCATGCCCAGGGCTGCGGCCTTGTAGCCTACCCTAGATACCCCTCTGCTTGGGAAAAAATCCTACTGCGTTTAAAACGACTCTCCCTCAGGATGGCACTGTTAAAATGATGCGCCCCTACACAGCAGCAGAGCCTCCCCTAACAGGCGCCATCCCCCACATGATCTGGACTGCAATTCCCAGCACTACTGGCTGAGGCTGATGGGAGCTGAAGTCCAAGGCAGCTGGAAGGCCCCAGGCTGGGGAAGGCTGCAGCAGTGCCCGTGGCCCACGGAAGTTCACGTGCCACTAAAGCATTTCTCATCCCCGAGAATGCCCGGAGCGGGAGGAGGAAGGGCGGCTGCTGCAGGGGGCGGGCTCAGCCCCTCGGGGCAGGATGAGGCCCAGGGCTGGGGGAGGGCGCCGTGACGAGGCCATCCGGCTCCGGCCCCACCAGCGCCCTTCGGGGCCAGGAACGGCCCCCGGCAGCGCCCCTTCTCTCGCAGGGCCACGCCGACCAGAAGCGAATCCGTGAATAAACGAGCACCACGAAGGGTCCCTTCCGGGGCGCCCGAAATCACAGAAAGGGCGGCGGACGCATCGGCACACTTTCCCGTCCGGAAAGCCGGGGAAAGTTCAGAGGCCCCGGCCGCGCAGCCTCCGCGCCCTGCCCCCTCCCGCCCGCCCGCCCGGGGCCTCGCCCGCGCCCCCGGCCCGCCCTCCCGCCGCAAACTTTGCCGGCGAGAGCCGCCCGGCCCGGACCTGCTCCTGCTCCGAGTCGTAGTCCTCCTCGTCGGGGCTCACCGACATGGCCATGGCTCACGGGGGGCGCGGGCGGGGCCGGCGGGCATGGCTCTCCCCGCCCCCTGCACCGCGCGGCGGCCGCGGGCTGGCAGGCGGCGGGCGGGCGGGCGCGCCATGCATATGCATGAGCCCGGACCAGGAAGGGGCGGGGCGAGGCGCCGGCCCAATAGCGAGCCGGCCTCGCGCCGAACAAAGGGCGCCCCGCCATTGGCTGCCGGCGAGCCAGGAGCGGCGGGGGGGCGGGGCGCCTCGCCTCCGCGCTGCGGCCGCGCGCCCGCCCCCTGCCCTGCCCGGCCCGGCGCGAGACCTTGGCCGGGGCCGCGCGGCTCCCCAGGCGCAGGCCCGGCCCCCGCCGGAGGGGCCCGCAAGGGGGCGGCAGGGCTCCGCGAAGGCGGCGGCGGGCGGGCCGTGCTGGCGAGAGCGGCAGTGAGACCGCTCCTATTCCTGTAATTGTGAGCAGCAATATACTAGGGGAAACCCTACGCGTGTTTTAGCGAGAAATAAGCGCTACGTGGGTGGGGTTTCCAGGCTGACTTCGTTGTGAGGCTTTCATGGTAAGAAATCATAGATGGCGCGACAGAGAAAAGGGTAGTCCCCTGCCCTCGATGTGGTTACAGTGGACACTCCAGCACTTCAAATGCATTCTCTCCATAGTCCTTGCAGCAGCTCTGCAAAATGAGCCAGTAGTATTTGTCCTGCTGCCTTACAGGCTACCTGTGCTCAGAAAACGAAGGCCACTGAGCAAAGCGGATGCTCCAAGAACTACCCAGCTTGCCATCCAGCCACACAGCTGGGTGTGTCTCTCCAGACATCACAACTCAGTAGTATTAAGCTCTTTCTTTGCAACCGAAAGCCCTGGCCCTCTGCCTCTCCCACCCTGTCGACTACCCCAATTTCTCTAGCACTTATACAACACCCAGAGGGGCTCACAACGAAAACCGACACGTACCTTGCAATAAACTGACAGACGTGATCAAAAAGTGGGCTTTTAAAAGGGGCATTGCTAAAGCAATGTAACCACCGAAACTCAGACCTGAAGAAAAGCTGGACAAAAGGCCAGGTTTTTTCACTCTCCTTTCCTGGTGCTGAAATATTCTTCCTCAGAGCTGATGCAGCCTACTAGGAATAGCACAGTAGGCCGTTCAGGCTAGGGGTGTCGTGCCTAGGCTCACAGGCCAAGCTGGGTCTTCTTGGGGCCCCAGGCTGGCCCTCGGGTTCCTCAGACAGCCACATGCCCATCTGCAGTTTCCCTCCCCAACTTCGGATGGTGCAGTGGCTTCCCACCTCCCGAGAAATTTCCCCTATTCCAAAAGGCTGCGGCATCTACAGAATCAGTTGCCAGCAGCCAGAAAGCTGAAGCTGCAATAGGCCCATCTTGCCCTGAGTTTCAACTGTCTGTAAGCACTTTACACAACAGACAGTTCTTTCCAGGAACTGTCCAGCAGCGGGTGGACAAAGGCACGGAAACGGCTAGTCAGAAGGAATGTGGCTCTGAAGTCCTACCTTGGAGTTTTTCTTAGGCCAGGATACCACCGGGACCCCAGAAATGGCGAGCGTCTGGTCATCATCCGCATGTTCCTTCAGGATGTTCTGTTTGAAAGAAGAACAGGCTGATTTACCAGACAGCTGCAGAGGGTGGGGTTAATACGAGAGAGAGAAGCAGCCCTGCACAGCATCACTTGCAAAAGGGAAGGGGAACTCTAAGCTGGAACCCAGAAAATTAAGGGTCCTCTTCAGCCTTCAGACTTGGAAGAAAGGCCATGTGCCTGAAGTTCTTTCCGCAGGATTCACCTCACTCAGATGAGAGGTGGAGATCAGCCAAGAAAGTTCCATAAAAGGCACAACTAATTCACTTTTAAAACTTAAGAAGCATTTCTCTTTTGAATTCACACAACAGCCATTTTGAAACCTACTTTTAAATGATCTGGACTGGTGAGTTTTGTCCTCTTAAACAGGTTATCTCAACTCACGGAGCAGATTTGTATGTGGTGACGGGACACCAGGGAAGAGATGACGGTGGCTTATGCTAACACGAAAAGGACACGGTTTTAATTCCACCCCAGCATCTCCAATGGTCTTTGCTAAACTGCCCTGGGAAAACCGGGACATGGGCAATTGAACAGGTGAGAGATGGTCTTCCGGCATCCATCAGAGCAGGTCTCTGCAGAAACACGTGGGCCCAGTGATGCTGCCTAGCCTTCCACTGAGTGATGGGCATCAAGGCTGAATTGGCTTGTGCAATTCCACCGCTCCCATCCACTAATCAAGTGGGAAAATCCCGTTGACAGGAAGTCATTTGTTTTCCCCAGTAACACAAAGCAAGACCTCTATTTCCTACATGTACCACCGGCTCCTTAATCAAACTGAAAGTGTTTCAGCAGCAAGCCTCATTAAGTTTCTCATGGCTAAATGTAAACACTTGAAAAGGGTGGAAGATTGCAGTCTGTTCCCATGAGAGATGGGGACTACATACATGGGGGAAAGGGCTCATCTGGCCAGGCTGCAAAAGACCCCATATAGTCGAGCAGTGAAGACACTTAAGGGAAAGGGTTCTCTCGTCCTAAGGTGGCCTGGGGGCAGGGCCTTCCCAGGAGGTGCTTCTGAGCAAGGGTGTCTTCATGCCGTCACTCTGCTCATTCAGACAATCTTGTCTCCTGTGTTTTTGCCTCAGCTTCCTCCATCTATTCGCTTTCCATAAAAACGAACAAGCAAACTGTTAGGAGGAAAAGAAGAAAAAGTTCCGCAGTGTCTCTAGTCTGGTAGCACTGGAACCAGGAGACCATCTGGAAACCCTCTCTTCAAGCCCTACCTCAAAACCATCTTTTCTGTGAAGCCTTTGGCACAACTCTCTAATTTCCATACTCTTGAAACTAAACACAATCTGAACTGCATCTCCCCCTGCTTCCTTCTGTAGCCCTCCTACTGCATGGCATTTTAGATTGTAAGCTCCCTGGGGCAAAGACCCATCAAATGCTAGTGCAGTTAGATTGTTCGATTTCATTTATATCGAGTAAATGTTTATAGGACTGACATGCTAGTAGTCTCAGATCATGCCCCGATCTGAAAATTGCAATTTCAAGTAGATTTGTCACAGCCCCCCCACTTTAATGTTTCTCTTAAGACGAGTTGTTTTGAAAAAATCAGACTTCTGCTGAGTTACTTGAGTATTTTAAAGTAGACAAGGGTACTGTCAGTTCTTGCACCATTGGGGACGGGGTCAGTAAAGCATTTATATGGAGTAGAATTACTGCCCATGCCCCCCGCAAGATCCAAAAAAATGCAACATTATTCTCTAAATAAGAAGTTGAAAGCTCCTGTGATCCAGTTTGCCATTGGCTCAACCACACAACTTTCCCAGGAGCTACAGAATGTTAAACAGCAGTGGAATCATATTTTGGAATTGTATTTTTTCACAGCAGGCAGAATTTGTCTTATTCTGTTTATGAAAACAGGGTATATCCCAGAAAGGTTCTGGCATATTGTTTTAAACAGCAAGATCACTGAAAAGTTATTTCAGCTATTAAAGGTGAGAGTAATACAACACATACCTCCCCTACAGATATAAACTAACAATTTTTGAAGTTTAATTCTGGTTTGTCTAGTACAGGTAGTAAAAGATCAAGGTTGGGCATGCAAGCTTTTATTCCTCTTCCGTGATTGGGTTCTACACAAAAGTAGTTCATCTGGACTCCTTTGCATATTGAGAAAATCAGAAAAGCAACTGCAAATAGGAATACTGCGAAATTACCTGGCCCAGCCAGGTAGAAAACCTGTTCTTTCCAAGCAGTCATAGCTTCTGTAATCCTATTTTTGAACCAAGATCCCTTTCTTCCTTATTAAATGACGCTTGTATTACAGCACTTCTTAAGCCTGGCAAAGATCATATTGTGCTATCAACCTAATTTATTAATTAATGTAGATGTTGAAGAAAGAACTGCAATTCTGGCAGACAGGCTGCAGTAAAGCTAAGCACTCTGCAGGTTCCAGCTGATCACATGGGATTTATTTAAACATCCGGAAGAGGACTGAATCTTAGGTAGGTTGTTGATCTGATAGCTTTGAATACTGGTACCTCAGGCCGGGCTGCAAAATGGATGCTGAAAAAGCCTCTGGCAAAATTAGTTGAAATTTTATTTTTCCTACCCTGAGTAATTTCAGCTTTCCTGCAGACATTTTGAAATGGCTTAGTCTTTTTTACTCAAGAGTTAAGAGCCACAAAAAATGTTTTTCCCCCCAGCTTTCTTTTCACGTGGGAGATGTGCCAGACAGGGATGTCCATTTTCTCCACTGATACTTGATTTACGTCTGGAACCCCCTGGCATGTGCTCTTAAACAGAACAGGGGTATTCACCGCTTTTGCAGAATTGTTTAGAATGTAAAATTATCCTTTATGCTGATGACCTTTCATTGTTTATTTCAAAGCTCCAGTTTATCTGTTCCAGCTCAGATGCAGCTGATTAACAGTCTTGGTGATTTGTCTGGCTAGTCAATTAACTGGTCATATTCTGAACTGGTGCCAAACGGAGATACTGAATCTCATACTGTTTTGGCTAATTGGAAAATCTGATGGTGCCCAGATCTTATTACTTATTTGGGAACACTTATTCCCAGAGGCACAGCACAAACAATCAAGCTAGACCTGAACGAGGACACGATCCTCTGGCCGGCAGACTGTGCCCCTGCCTGTCCCCTCAGCCAGACACACAAACGCTTCCTATGTATAGACTGAAATGGATATAATCACACCTTTGAAGTTACTTTTCCTTCTTTTCCCCTTCATGCTTTTATTTTGTTGGAATGTTATAATTTTTTTTAATTGGAGGAGGATCTGCTTGCTTGGTTTCTGGCCATTTTTGTCCTGTGTCTTAGTGATGCAGAAACAAGCAGGGCTCTGGCCAGTTTCATGAGCTTGTAACTTTGGCAAATTAATTTTCAAAGCTGAGAGAGGTTGATAAGAACACTTCCACACCAACCCTGTACAGGCATTGCCTCAAAATGCTAAAATCCAAGTCTTGTGTCGTATTTGCCAGGCTGGGTATCTGGAGGAGAAAGCAGCCGGGTTCAAGGCAGATCTGTAACGTCCAGCCAGAGGACTTGTGAAGGGAAACCCAAAGAGCAGCTCCTTCAAGAGGTCCCCTCTCCCTGTCAGAGGGGCAAATGCTTAACATGCCTCAGCTTCCAGGTTTGGTCTCTGCGTGAGAGGAATGGAAGTGGAACAGAGAGCCGAAACACGGGGACCCCTTGTACCTCCACAGCTGAGCAGCTCTGCCTGTGGGCATGGGAGTAACTCAGGGCCACCCCACCCCTTCCCCGCTGGCCTCTCTTTCCCAAAAGAGAAGGCCTGAACAGAGAACTTGTATCATACCCTTTACAACGTGATGGAACCCCACCCTCTGTGCCAGGTTACCACTTCAGAGTGTAAATACCTGTCTGTCTACCAGAGACAAGCCACTTGTTCCCTATGAAGCTGCACAAGGAAAATTCTAGCACACAGTCACATGACTACACGGAGCATGATGCACCTCTGCAGGGCTTCCCCACAAGGCATGCATGAGCAAGGGAGAAGCCCAGAAATCGGTCCCACTCTCAGAAGCAGCCTTCCCCCACCTCTCCCCTCAGGCCTGGCCAATGTGGGCCACACCAGGAGTTGAATAAAACATCCACAGGACGCCAGCTCGGGATGGCGGCTCCAAACAGCTCCAGACCCAAGCAGTTTGAACAGATTCCACTGCAAGGCACTGAAAAGCAAGATGTCTACGCACCTTCATATCTTCCAGCAGAGTCTGGGGATCCTCAATGCCTTCGGGGATGCATTTCTTGTTCTCTGGAAGAGATTCAAGTTTTTCGACAAGGGCTTTCAAACCCTTCAGCTCAAACTCTGTCAGGTGAGTCCACTTGGCTGACACTTCTGTGGCTGGTGACCCCGTGGGAGTTCTGGGAAAGTCTGCCGGGGTGGACTTTACACTGTCGTCCGACTCGTTGGACAAGGTCCTTTTGAGATATCGGGGCATCGTGGGTTTCTGCTTCTTCCCCGGAATCTCCTTCCCTTCTGAATGCATGCTGTTAGGAGAAGATGATCCGTCAGCTGCGGCCTTGGGGAGCTTTTCCAAGTTATCATCCTTCTCCTCCCGGGTAGAAAGGTCACACAATTCTTCATCCATGTCTATCCAGGAGTCTGATGAAAAGCTGTCTAAGCTGCGTTTCCTTGTGGTATCTAGGAGAGAGGAGAAAAAGAATTCTGAAAACCTTGAAGTGAAAGTTCAGGCACCCTGGCAAAGAAGAGACGGGCACTGTGGCCTCGTGAATGGGATTTGTGAGGCCCGCGTTATAGTCCACGCTCAGCGCTGAAGCTCAAAGGGTGACTCTGGTCACTGTGGGCCCTTCAGCTTCACCTACCTCACAGCACTGTTGTGAAGATAAAAACAGAGAATGAAGAGGATTGTGTAAGCCAGGTTGGTGGGATGGAAATAGAATTAACAACACATTGGTAAAGAACGCCAACCTCCGCAGCCCACATATTGGCAAAGTACAATCACTGGGTATGAACTTGTCCATCACGAACGCAGCCGGACGAACCTTACACAGGCGACCGACTCAGACACTTGCTCCATCAGGCCCCGTCTCTGGACGCTGCTCAAGCAGGATGCATTTCTAGCCCCACCGGGAGATGCTGCTGGGGATGGAGCCCTGGACCTCTGTATGCAGACCGGGGTCTCCACAACGCAGCGACGGCCTGCAGCCTTCCCTCCAACGTACTGCCCCTCCTCGTGCCCAGGCGGATCTTTCCGCTTAATCAGAGCACGTTCCAAAATGCAGCTTCCCACCGCGCTGGCCTGTGCAGCGTCAACAAACGCACTATGAGTGTGCTGATGGGCAAGATACCTGTCGTCCTGGAGGATGCCACTAGGTGGCAGTGGATGTGGAGAGTAGAGCCACTGCTCCCAAAGAGGCGCTGCCAGCACCGTGAGCAGGGCCATGACCTCTGCAATCGACTCCTTTGCGAGCGACCTGCCTAGCCGTGCCGAGCTGGTGGACCCGGCCTGCCGGTGTCTGGAGAAAGGGCTCAGAGCACGTGCTTTGTGTGAAGGAGGTCCTGGTTCCATTCCAAGTGTTTTGGATCTCATGTAGCAGGTGACAGGAAAGATGGCTGGCCGTGCCACGTGAGAGCTGCTGTCCTGCCCCGTATCATGACTCCAGGCTACAGGGAAAGCTGACTGCCATGGGGGAACCTACAAGTCAGGCACAGACACTTCGGGACAAGCAGGGTCATGTCTGCTAGACACGGGCAAAGGAAGTTTGTGGGAGCGCTGGGCAGAGCATGTGGAAGAGAGCAGCAGCGGCTGTTGTCTCAGCGAGAGGGAGAGGTCTGCTGCAGGCTGGCCCAATCTGTCCTGCCTCTGGCTTCATCCGTTGATGGATCCTGCGAGGGCCGGCGTCAGCTGTGTAGACGGGGGCTGACAGCAGCCTCTTCCCCTCTTGAAGGTCCAGGAGCACCTCCCTGAAAGGCACCGCTTTCCCTTCCACATCGTCTTCCGGATCTTGTGCAGGGAGGCTGCCCCAGCAAGAGAAGATGGCAACTGCTAACAGCTCCCATAAATGGTGCTGAGCTAGATGAGCTTCCCCGCTGGCACCCTCTCAACTTGTTGGACTTCAGCTTCCGCCATGCCCCACGCTGGCTGGGGCATTCTGCCCACTGGAGCGCAACCAACGGGAAGGCCCCAGGTTGGTAAAGGGCGGACCACGCGGGCCCACAGTCTGAGCCGATGTACGGCACACTCCAAGGTGGCATGGCTGTGCCACTTCCCATCCCACGAGCATGCCATGTTCTTCCCTGCACTGCTACTGCCCCCTTCCATACATCCTGACGGCGTACAGAAGGGCCTCTCGGAAGCTCCCGCACTTTAAACTGCTGAGCGTGTAACTGGCTCTCCGTTTGGTCAGTAGAGCAGGCTGAGCTGAGTGAATGGCCTAATTTATTCCAAGTACCAAAAGATGCATTCCTTTTGTGCAGAATTTTGCTGGGGGCACATAAGTGCCGGGATGACACCCAAGCTCTGCCGGTATCCTGTGCCAAAGATATCCAGTAAAGCCTACTCTCTTTGGGGGAATTCAAAGCTTGCAAACCCGCCCTCCATCCCAAATAATGACGACGAGGAGTTCAAGCGGAATGCCGTGTCTTGCAAGCCCACAGAAAGCCTTGAGAAATAGGCTTTCACAGGAGAGCCGGCTGCTCCAGTCAAGACACCAGAGCTTCAGCCGCATACCTGCTCCTTGAGGGACTGACAAAATCATTCATTATAATCTTCACAGTTCTCTGATTTTAGAATTTACGGCCCATTTGCGCAGGAGGCAGAAGAGCGAAGGGGCCATTCCGTCTCCCCCTCCAGCTGCCCATCCTGAATAGGCACCGCAAAAGAATTCACTCACCAATTAACATCGATTCTTTCAGGTACTCTTTGCTGAGGTGGGAGCGCCGGGTCACGCAAAACACGTATCTCTCCAGAACATACCAACACATCTCATAGTAGAAAGGGTAACGGAACTTGGCCTGCACCTGAAAACAAGAGGGGAAATCGTCGGTCCTCCTGGGAGGCAGGGAAGTTTGCCGCTCCGCGTGCCGGTTCTCATCTTACCAAGAGCACAAACGCCTGAGTGGGAGGAGGGGAAGACAAGGGTGGGAGCGAGGGAGACGGATGCCTTCAGCATACACAATGAGCTGAGCCACGCTGCCTGCCTGCCTGCCTGCCTTCCACGAGAGCCTCGTTTTGTGGTTCACCAATTTTGCACCTTCCCGGTGGGGGTGGGGGTGAGAGGAGTTGGGGACGAGAGGGGAGGGCTGTGTTCTCGAGACAGATCCCACCCCACACGGGAAAGACACCGATTCCGTAAAATCCTCTGCCAGTCATGTAAATATAGCAATGCTCACATACAGATGTTATTCTCCTGGGAACTGAACTTAAAAGGACGTGTGGATTGCACCAGATAACCCAGGAAAGGCTTCCCTAGTGTCAGGCTCCCCCCCCAGATGCGTTGCACTGCCAGCCCATTCACCGAGTCGAGTCGAAGGGCTGGGGCGGGGGGAGGTCCGCCTCCAGCATCCATCCCGGGAGGATGCGAGGCACTCTGGCCCAGCACATCTGGGGCAAACTGACCTAGGAGTTACATCCCACTTCCTGCACCGCCACCCCACGCTGCCCTCCTCAGCGGGCGGGACAAACCCGCACATCCGACAGCACTTCTTCACACGCCACGCGACCGAAGCACATAACTTGCTACCGCAGGGTGCTGTGACGGGCACCCTCGAAGGCGGTCTGAACAGAAGGTTAGGAAAAAGTACAGAGGGAGAGGAGAGGACACGGCTGCGATAGCTACATGGATATTCGGAAGGCCGATACCTCTGGATATCAGGCGCTGGGGACGAGGAGGAGGGAGAGGCGGCTGCCCCGGAGCCGTGTTCTCGCACGTCGCATGTGGGGCAGCCATCCCAAAGGGGGCCTTGTGCAACGCGCCGCCCTCCCCCCACAGCACACGTGACAGCTTATCCGTGTCATGCCGACGTTACACTGAGCACGCCCCCCTCATCAGCAGAACGGAGATGGGAGTCCGGGGGCCGTTAACGCAGGAACGACGCTGGACTCCAGAGTGCCGCTTCCGGCAGGCATCCTGGGCCGCAACAGGGGGTTCCCTGCCCGGCATAGCAAAGACACAACCAAACCACAGCCGTTGCCATCAAGATGGTCTCACGTATTATTACTGTGCAAGACTCGTGTCTGGTGCCTCCTCACTCTGGCCGCGGTTTGGAGCCGAGGCCAGATCGCGTTCGGGGCTTCTTCCCACGTGCCGGCAGGGAGGGGGGGACTCATGCCCCCGGTGCTTATGGAGCGCCCCCGACTCTGTTTCCGCTCCCCGTGCGCGGCATGAGAACTCTCACGGCTCGTGCCACAGGGCTGCCGCGAGGGCACTTGGCTTCCCTGAATGGCTAGGCCCCGGCAGCTCCCTGGGCTACCCCGAAGCAGCGGCACAGTGAGCAGAGGGGACCCTCTGCTGGTCCGGGGACCCTGGCAGGTGGTCCAACCTTGCCACCCTCTCCAGGAGGCCCTGGCACCCAGCCCAGAATTGCTGGCTTCGGCAGGTGGGTGCCAGGCAAGGCATCTGCCCCCTCACGGGCTAGCGGGTGCTTTTAGCTGGACTGGACCTTGGACTCCCTGCGTGGAGACGGTTCGACCTGCCCTGGCACTGTCATTCTGCCTTGCGGACAGAGATGCGGGAAGCAGGCTGGCCACCCCGTCACATCCACGGCTTGCCCACTAGCCATCCAGGCCTTCTTCGCTGGCCCAGAGAGGCCTGTAAGGTTTCGGCTACATATCAAATTGCTCATTGCAATGGTCAACACACAAGGGAAATCAGCCATGCTAAAAGAGGGGTGTTCATAAAAGGAACTCAAATTATTTATTTTCTCTCTCTTGTAACATTTTCTTTTTCACCCTAAGAGAGCACTGCAGGAAACAAAATTTGCAAAAAATTTGACTTACAAACAGGAAGCCGCCTGTTCCACCCCTCGGCCTTCAAAAGGTTTCCAGCCACATGCCTGGGGAATATTAAAGACATCGTTTGCTCAACATTTTGCTGACAGGATTTTGAGCGTCACCAAATTTAGCTGCTTACCAATGTGTGGGGCTTTTTGATTTGTTTTATTTTGAAATAATAGTAATAAAAATTTCAAATGTGCATGAAAAGGCAGTGAAAGGCATGGCAGTGCTCCCAGGCCACGGAGGACTCCTCTCGAATCATCAATTTGAGTTCCTAATGGGCCACATCCCACATGTTTCGATCCCCTCCCTGCTTCTAGTTCAGTCTCTTCCTGAAACCCTGCCCTGCAGCCCGGAAGCCTTCGGATGCAAGAGACGGACGCAGGGCATGCCAGGCACAGAGACAAGGGGTCCTTCGGCAGGAAGTGGTGGCTGGAGAAGGGATCCAACCGCAAGCCCCACCAGAGGGCTTCTCAGGACCCCAGCTGGCCATTTCTGGTAACGGGATTCTGCACTAGATGGGCTCGTGGTGCGATCCATTCACGTGTTTTTCTACAAAGCAGAGGTGTATCTAGCGCTTTTTGTTGCACAGCAGCCTTTGGGGACTGCATTCCAGGGGCAGCTGGGGCCAAAGAGAAAAGGGCAGGGCCAAAATACCCCCCACCCCACCCGCAGAGGTGAATTTAAAGCTCTTGCCTCCAGGGACGACGACGTCAGGTAGGGCATTACCTCCTTTTGTGGTAAAGCCAGGGAACTGCCTTGAGCCCTGTTTGCACTCAGGTCCGACGGTGATCGGAAAGCTCCCCATTCAGGGGCAGCAGAATGCGGAGCAGCGCTTGGTGCGTGACGGAAGGCGGCTGACAGCCTTCGCACCTCGGCTGGGGGATCCTGGCGCGTGTGGCTGGTCACCGTGGAAAGCTGGGATGCGCAGGGGCCGGGACCGGTCCATCCAGACTGCTTTTCTTGTCAACTCGCTACGAAGGGTGCCCCACAGCTGTGCAGGGCACCGCCTTGGCCCTCTTTCTGGTGCCAACTAATTCTTTAAAAATCCACTTAACGTCCTAATCAATGATGTGGGTGTTTCGGGGAGGATTTTGAGGATTTTAAAATTTGTTTTTTCTTCTTTGGTAGTGTGGTGTGCATTTCATTGCATTTTATATTTTGCAGCTTGGCTGAGATAGATGAAAGGAGGGCAGGGGCCCTTTCATAGCCCTGCTAAAAAAAGGACTGAATTTCTTCCTCTATCCTACCCATCTTCCTTGTGAGCCATGTCTTTTTAGACTGTAAGTCTGCAGGGAAGGGGCTCCTTGTTTTAAAGCCTGCAGGAAACCATTCCGGGAGTCTTTTTAGCAGAGGAATGGGGTGGAAGTACTTTAGATAGGCAGATGGGTAGATATAACTTACATAAAAGTGTATATATGTGTGTTTATATATATATATGTTATACATATATATGTGTGTTATATATGTGTGTGTGTTAAATGTTATATATATATATATATATATATATATATATATATATAACACACACACACGTTATATATATATATATAGAGAGAGAGAGAGAGCGCGAGAGCGAGTGAGCGAGCGAGCTGCTCCCAGGGTGTAAATGAAGGAAGGTGATGCAGCAGCCTTGTTGAGATCTGGTGTGGTCAGTGCCCGGATGGAAGGCTACCCCACAATGGCAGGAAGAAAGGCTACAGATCGCAATAAAGACCACGCTGCTTTTTGATGCTGCAAGTTGACTTGCAGGTTGGACAGCATTAAAGTAGCGTTTATTTAGGAAAGGAAATAGTGGCAAAGCCAAACTGTCTGGAAACCTACCCTTGCAGATTTCAACGTCTCTCCTTACCAGTGGAGTAAACTTTAGCCCATGAGGGGATGAGAGAAGAGGGCTCTAGGATCAAAAATGTACAACCCACTGAACACCCCCCCCATGATTTCTGAACAAAGTGGGAAAACACAGCCTCACTAGAGAAGAATAGCTTTCCATGGTTTAAAGCAAAAATGCTGTCTCAGGGCCTTTTACAAAATCCATCCATCCATTTTTGTAAGTCTAACAAACCAGCACCTGAAGCTGAGAGCCAGTGTGGCGCAGTGGTGAAGAGCACGGGACTGGGACTCAGAGGATCTGGGTTCAAGTCCCTGCTCAGCCATGGAGCCCACTGGGTGACTTTGGGCCAGTCGCAGACTCTCTGCCCAACCTACCTCACAGGGTTGTTGTTGTGGGGATAAGATGGAGGAGGAGAATGATGTAAGCTGCTTTGAGCCCTTTGTAGGAAAAGGCAGGATATAAATTGCAATAAATAAAATAAAATAAAATAAAATAAAATAAAATAAAATAAGCTACCTGGACCAGAACTTGCAGCCCACACCAAGGCTGTGTGGGAGTTGCAGGCCTTCTTCCTACCTAACCTTACATAGGATAGTATCTTAAGAAGCCAGAAGTTCATGCACTACCCTGGCTCTCAGTCTGTCTAGTTCTCTTCCAAACCTACACTCCCCGCTTGGGGTCCGAGATCCGGATCTGGACCTTAGGTCCTAAAATAAGCGTCACGCATGCCGGTCGATTTGTGACCAGGCTATAAATCAGCATTATCACCTCAACTATGTTCCATCCGCTTTGCAGGTGCTCAAGCAACACCAAGCCATGAACACAAACCACCAGGAGCCGGGCTCCGAATATCAACGATCAAAGTCCACCAAGGCTCAAACTCAGCACCACCACTTCAGCCCCAGGTGCAGCAGAAACCACCTGGGTTGCATTCTCTGCTGGAGCCAACAATTCCTGCTTTATGAATCATGTCGTATCTCCTGCCCCCGCTGCTGTCCGCACACAATGGAAAGATCAGTACTCGTGAGAAAACCGTTCACTGGGTGTTGCTCCAAATGGAGTCCACCAGGGAAGCCCGAGAGGAGAGGAACCCACCAACTGACCCCATGGCAAGACTGGAACTGAAGAAGAGGCCAGATCTGTGCAGGAAAAGCCAACCAGGTGAAACGCATTTCCTTGAAAACTGATCCCGACGATTTTGGTTGGCCTTCCTTCAAAGTAGTTGGGGTTTATGACAGTCTGTGCTAATCCCACCCCTCAGTTTAAATTCTGCACGCAGGGGCAAGCCAAATTCTGCACGACACCCACAATTATGCAAAATGGACTCTATTATTATGATTTCCCTTATTTGCATGATTCATTCTGATTTTGTTAGTCAAGGTTGAGAGAAGCCACAGGGCTTCTGAGATTTCAGCAGGAATTGCCACACTTGTGCAAGGTTAAATTCATTCCCATGAGGGCTAGAAATGTGGTTGTTGGATTTGTTAAATGGAAGTCGAGATTCGCAGGAAGCTGATACATTCTCTGCTTTTCATGTACCTGCTCAGAATTATGACGGACACTTCACCGTATTGGTAGACAGTCTTCCTATTTTTTCACAACCTGAAACTTGTCATAACTCTTTATGGGAGCGATCCTTTGCCTCTTTCGACAGAAAAAGGGCTTATAATTCCCAACATTCCTCCATTAGCATAGCTGGTTGGGGCAGTTTGGGTGTTGCAGGTCTCCATTATCTCTAAACCTGCATAACATACATTCCACCTTAAGACTGGAAGCAGCTCTTTGGTTTCTTGCATGGGAAAGAATGACAGACACAGAGTCTGCCAAAAGAACATCTTTCCCCTAAGCAGTTTCCCCGAAGCAACCCCAAGTCACCCCCCCATAAGGATCACTTTTTAGAAACGGCACGTTTGCAGGAACCCTGGTAACAGATCGGTCTGCAAGGTTTTCCCCAGAGTATTTGCAAAGCTAAGTTCAGTCCTAAGCTAAATCATGGGCAACCGGTTGTTCTGAGGAGCTCCGGGGACACCGGCAAGGGAGTCCTGCACTTGCACGGACTGGCGATGCCTTGGCCTGGAGGAAGTCCTCCAGAGACAGACCTCTCGCTCTGCACATTCACACGAGCACTTGCAGCGATCGGGGATTCCAGTCTGACAAAAGTGAGGAAGCCGATTCGGTGAAGCTGCCTCAGCTCCCCTCACCCGGGACTGCAAGCACACGCCCCCCGAACGCAGCCTTGCCTTCTGGGAGGGGAACGCACCCCCCCCACTCCGTTCACTCTTGCCACCTGCTTGGAACAAAAGAGACCCATGTGCCAACTATATGAATGGAGAACTGAGGCAGAGAGCGTAACTTGACCGAGCCTTACAGCGAGTCCACGGCAGAGGCGAGACATGGAGCGCCCCCGATTCGGGTCTGATTCTCTCAGCCACCGGCTCGCTCCTGGCGCATCGCACAACTTCCCTGGCAGTTCCGAAGGGAACAGCCCTCCTTTGAATAACCAGCGTCAGAACCTTCAGTTCTCTAGGCTCTACCGACGGTCTGCAAGCCACGCCGAGGGCCTCTGAGGGACGCAGGCTGCCTACCAAGCGACGGGCACGCCTCTCCATCCAGCCCAGCCTCCTGCCGCCGCTGTCCCCTGCAGCAGAACCCATGATATGGACAGCCAGATCCGCTCTGGAGGAGGGGACCGTGGCTCGGGGGGAGGGCATCCATCTGGCAGGCAGAAAGCCCTGGCTTCAGTTCCAGTGACTCCACCCCGGGCTGGGAAAACTCCCACCTGAAGCTGCTGCCAGTCCGAGTTGGCGATCCTGGGTCGGTGGACCAAGTTCAGGGTAAGGCTGCCTCCTGGGTAGGATCAAGGAGCTTCTACGCCAAAAGAAGTGGAAGCACCTGCGCTCCTCGGTCGGGCAGGGTAATATCAGTTGCAGCTGGCATGGAAGGCCCTCCTCGTTGGGGGGCAGCTGAAGGCACCATGCTCAAGCTGCTGCCCCACGTGGCAATGCAGCCTCGGAGGTACCTTGGGGGAGAATCCCAGCCCTTCCACCGAGGCAACAACTGGCAGGGCTTTCTGCCTTTCCAGCACGTCAGGGAGACATTAAGGAACAACTGGCAAGATTCCACGGCAAACTGGTCTTCCATTCCCACTGCAGAGTTGCCAATCGAACCCCCTCTACCTGCCGATAGGCTGGGCAAGGCCAGGCACAGAACTGGTGCCGGACCTGCACGGGAGCGGAGGGGAGCAGGGCGGGTCAAGGCGCACCGGTGGGAGTCGTCGGCCTTTATTCTGCCCTCCAGCCCCTCCCCGAATGTGCCACACTCGCTTCCCCCTCAGGTAGGAACACCCGGCATGGGGAATCTAGTCTTCAAAGAAGGGATCCAGCAGGCCGAGGAGAACAGGCGAGGCGTGACGAAGAACCGTCAGAAAGGAACCTGGAGCAGAGGGGGACTGGCAGAGCTCGGCCACACAGAGCCCAGGATGGGTCCGGCCCCAGGGAACGCGCAGCGACAGTCACGTGCCACTGGAGCGCCTAGCCGACTGGTGCGGCTCCGCTTTCGCGGACTGCAGGCTGCTTCACCGGATCCCGTCAGGTACCCTGCTGCACTCCACGCATCATTATGCACACGGTGGCGAGGAGGGGGGTTCGTGACGCCGAGGACAGGGGGGATAAAAATGCGGGAAGTACAGGCAGCGGTAATTACTTTATTTACAGTGGCCAGTAAGAAAACAGCTCTTGGGTGGCAGCACTGGGGAGCTAATTAGGGCAGAGAGAGAGGCTGTATGGTTTCGTCCCCCTTCAAGCTCCTTCAGATTTCAGTGCAAAGCAGCTAAGCTACAATTCACCCCGAGGTTCAGCACTGCTCCTTCTGACCTAAATAGCGACAATGGGGCTTTTTGATCACACCGCGCGTGCCGATTCGCTCACCCTTGTACGGATGTCTGTGTCATCACCCAACAACTGTTTTGCAAACGGCCTCGGTTATTCAAAGGATTATCGTACTGCAGCCTGTACTTTCTGCGATTCTGTCCTCTCCAACCTCCGTGGTTACAGCTCCTGCCTCTCAAGGCTCAGCTTGTGCACTCAGGACAGCCGCTCCTGCTTTTGACAAAGCAGGATGTAACGCTCAAAAGCCGAGGCCATAATAAATATGATAATCCCGAAGGTGCAGCAGGACTGTTTTTTTCCACTGCACCAGGCCAACATGGTTGGCTACCCCTCCGGAAGCAGCAGAAAGAGGGGCTGAGGCCAAACCTGGAAGCGCGCCTTGTGAATTCACCTGAGAGAAAAAGGGCAGCCACCGGTCCTCAGACCAGAGAGGGCAAGACAGAGCGGAGCCACTGCTGCCAAGAGGCACCCGGAACTCCAGGCTGGCAAGGGACTGGGAGGCCACCAAGAACCAGGCCCCAGTCCTGGGGCAGCCAAAATGCCTGCAGAGGCTCCCTTCGCCAGCGCCTGCAAGGACACGGCTGCGCAGGTCAGGGGAGGTCCGAAGGCAAACTCTCCGGTGAGCCTCTTGCTGACATTCCTGCAAAATTTGACTGTTTCCCTGACTCCCAGCTTTTCCTGAGGATGGCAGCCACCAGACCTGAAAATGTGCTATTTAAGCCATGAGCGGAGAGAGACTAAGCTTACCATCCCAGTTCCTGGGCCTCTATGAAGAGCCCGTCTCCCACCTCAAAGGGACAGGTCATTTCACAGGCAAAGAAAGTCAGGATGGAGCATCCTTACCCGCGTTCTGTCCTCAATCTCGTAGATGCGAAGCTGCATGGGAACGTTAAAGCTATGCAGGATATTTCCACCAAACACCAGGGAATCCACTGGAGTATAAACAGCATGTATCCACCCTAAAAAGTGGGGAGAAAATTAAAGGGGGAAGGAAATGGAACCAATCCCTTTCGTGGGAGAACTCCCTTCGGTTAGCTTAGTCAAGTACCCATGTACTAGGAAAGAGGGTAAAGGGAGGGCTTTCAGTCCCCGGAGACACAAGCTTAAAGCCCAAGCCGTTCGTGCAGTTGCAGGCAAACTGTCCCGACCCACGGCGGAGGATCGTCACTGCTCGCCCACTGAAGGACGACTGTTGCTCAGCGGGCCTTCCCGGAACGTCAGGTTCCAGAAGCTCCGGAATAACTGCCACAAAGCAGGGCTCGATCTCCGTGTTCACAGGGCACCTCGAGGTCTCTCAGGTCAGGGTGTTTTGCCCCAGGTGGGTTCTCCGTGTTAGAAGTCCAGGGGCTGTGCCAGAGCCGCCACTTTTGAGTTGGAGGAGCCGCAGCTCTGTGCACGCTTTGATGCCGAAGGTCCCAGAGTCGGCCCGACGTCTCCAGAGGCAGAACATTATCCTGCCTGGAGAGCTGCTGCCAGACAGTGCTGACAACCTCAGGCTAGACAGATGGAGGGCCTGACTTGAGCAGGGCAGCCTTCCATGTTCTTATCAGACTTGCCCCTCGGCACGGGTAGGCTGAGGAATGCCCCGTGCCCGAGGGCACTCCAGACCCTGCGAGTGGCAAGTGACAGAGGCCCTCTGACAGAGGAGAGCGCTATCTCCTGGCACGTGAAGCAGAGAGGAGGGGTGAAAATGGATGCTGCCATTTTAGACGGCAGGTGAGGGCCAACCTATTCAAACACTGCCCTGCTTTTAAGACCTCCCTGCCAAGAGAAACTCAGAGCCGAAGACCAAGAGTTGGGCTTGCACTATGCACACACATGCAACGACTAGAGAAAATGAGCTTTTAAGGGCTGTTACCCCAAATCTATCAGCTTCCATCCCCCTCCTCATGCACGAAGACTCAGTCAGAGGTCATGCCTGAATCTGGGGACTGCCCCGCACCTGCCGGGGCCCACAAGAGAAGGAATGCATCGGGAGAACAGCGGCTGTTCTTAAGGGAGTCACCTGAGGGAATGAAGAAGGTGTTCCCTTGTTTCAGCTCAATCCTTTGGCACAGGTCCACCCTGTCCCCCAGGAAGACGTCACTTTGCTTCCCCGAGAGAACCCATTCCTCATACAGTTCTAGGTTCTGAGAAGTTGGAGGAATCAACCAGAAGATCTAGAAAGAAAAAAACAGCCGTGAACTGGGGCAGAAAGGAGCAGGTTGTTCTCCGAATACTTACGGTCAACCTCCGGTTCAGACGCGCTGTCCAAGGGAGTGGGCACGCATGAGCCGAACATTTCTACTCCCAAAGCTGCATCAACAGATCCTCCTCTTCAGCTCGCGGTCTGTCGTGAGCTGCAGGAGGGGCGTGAGCCTGTCGGGAGCACCCGTCCAACACACTTGGAGAAAGCCAGGCCGGGGACAGCCGGACTCACACGATTCCAGCTGCCGAAGGGACACCCACGTCCCTGAGAGGCCCAGGCGAGCCACATCAAAGAAACTGGACCCGGAGGAGCACAGCAACTCAATCCCATGGGTGCTCTAGAAAGGCAGCGGCTTCCCTGGACCGCCTCCGGCTGGTCTGCTTGGGCAAGAAGGGGGCTGCAGTGTGCACCCATAACCCCAGAGGAAGAACATTTAGTTAAATGCTGCTACCTTTGTGGCAAAGATATAAAATGTGTTGGTAGGTACATCCCCTACCGGAAGACTGAAAATGGAACGTATTCAGTCAGAGCCAAGCAAAAGGAGTGTGTATTTCTGAAGCTAAGAACTTTCTGCTTCAATGGACACTTGAGAATTGGGAACGTGTCATTATTAGATGGTTGACTGGATTGGTATGGCTCTTAATTTATTTGGTAGTTTTGTTTTCAGATTAATTTGAAATTTTAGAGAGCAATCCTAGGGCTGATAGTATCTGGGCAGCCAGAGGATATTTTAGGATTCCCAGCTCGGGGGTTGGAAATTGCTCTGGCTTTCACCTGCAGCCCCCTCCCCTGCTCAACGCTGGTGTGGACAGAACAGCACCACCAGCTTCCCACAACGGCAAAACCGACCTCAGAGAAGAGGTCTAGTGGGTGATGGTGGGCAGGGAGGGGAGAGAAGGGGGCCAGTAAGCCAAAAAATGATCCATCCGGATGGCACCTGAGTTTCCTCCCCCTCATTCCAAAATACCGCAGCTAAACAGCAATGGCCAGCCATGGTCCACCGTCCGTGCAGCCTCAGATGCCTGGCATCCTCCGAGTTCAGAGGGTTGTGGGCACTGCTCCCTGATTGAGCCCTTAGGGTTTCATTTATTTCAAACTGACACGAGCCACTTTTCAGAATCCCTGTTCCCTCTGGAAAGGTTAACGAGCAGAACAAATGTTCAACGAATACGCAAAAGCGCATTCGTGTTCTGCTTCTGTTTCCCACATCGGCAAGATGCCTTTTCCACAACCACCTTTTCATTGTCCCAGCCGATCGCTGAAGAATTCAACGGCAAGCCATCGCGAGGATGTTATCAGGGGGCCACGGCTGCCCACTTCTCTTCCCACCCTCCACATTCCACACAGGTGCTGCATTCACTTACCTTCCCTCCGCGGAAAACGTGATACCAAACTGAAGTACCCCCGAAATCAATGTGGAAATCTGTGAAGCAACCTTTCACACTCATCAGACAGTACCTGCAAAGCACAGAGATGTCGTTTAGAAACAGCTCCTACGGGAATCCAAAGCGATATCCCATAAAACTGGAATTTACGGCTCATGTTTTCAATGTTTAGCAGTCACTGCTTATGGGTAAACGACTCAAAATGAAGCATTCTAAATGTCCTTTGAATGGAATTCTAAAACAACTGGATTTCTGTGGGAGGAAAATTTGCCGATGTGATCTTGGATTTCTTATTCGAGGTGTCTGGAGAGGGAGGGGAAACAACGGATTCCACAAAGCTGAGGAATGACAGAGTTAAACTGCTGTTCTACGTGCGCTGCCCTTGGCTCCGTGTTTCAGCGCGATTCAAGTGAAGGTTTGCTTTGGGGACCCAAAAATGGAAGCTGCTCTTCTAGCCCTTCACAAATGGTGCCTAAAAACAAAGTTTTCAACAGCCCTGCTTGAATTTAAACCACAGGGCGGCTTTGCAAAGCTGGAGTGGTGGGAAGCTCATGGGAGAAATAAGCTGCACCGGCACTCATGATTTTCCTTTCCTTGTAAGGTTCTGGGCCAGCGGGAATGGTATTTACGAATCGTCAAATGATGGAGTTTGCTAAGTACCAAATCCAGTCTTTCCTCCATGCCGTCTGTAAGACTTTGAGAGCAGTTTATCTCAGGGCGACGGCCTGCCCGAGGCACGCAGCTTCCCCACGCCCCTCCCTCTGCTCCGTCCGCTTGATCCGCGCCAGCCTCCATCCGTAGCTAATGGCTGAATTACTGCTTCCCTGCTCAGGCACTTAGCAAAGGCAGGAAACGCACACCACTTAACCCACTAACCCCCTTTCCTTGTTCCGGTTGCCGGTTCAAGGTTTGTCTTTCAGTCCCTCAATATCTCTGAGTCTTTTCTACTAGGTCGAGAGCAGAGAAGCAGAAAGCAAGCACCACCCCCTGCCCTCTGGTACCCCTCACTTCCCCAAGGCTCCAGCAAGCCGGGTGCTCCCCCTCGGTCCCCCATCGCATCTCAGCTGCAGGCGGAATGTGGTCGGCATGCAGACGTCCCTCCAGACGACAGGAAGGCCCTTACCATGTGCCCCAGGAAGGCTAGGAAATCAGAAAGTCTTGGGATACAGAAGAGCTTGCTGCCTAGCAACCGCATCCAGTGCCGGGAGTTGACAGAGCGATACGCAATGCTGTCACGAAGAAGGTAAATTTGCAGGCTTTGGAGGAGGAGGGGGCCCCCAGCTTCCTCGGCCCCTGCCTTGCAATTAAAACACTTTTCTTGCACAATTACAAGGGTCGCCTGGGTGCCCCTCTAGCATTTCCAATGGAAGGCAAAAGAGAGAAGCATTTGCCTTCAGCCTGGGATATTTCAGATGCTTAAAAAAAGAAAAAGAGCCATGGGGGAAAGATCAGGCAGCCCAGGAAGGCTCTCCGGCTACACTCCGGTGCTGACTTGGGCGTGCTGAAGCACGACTGAAATCAGGAGGCGTCACTAGGTCGGATTGTGACCTCCACATGCCGCTTTTCAAAATACGAGTCCTTCGCTCCTCCGCACTTTCTAAACGATTTGTCCTTTCCTCTGCTTGCTTTACTATTCTACATGGGCGACTGATATGGAAACCAAATTCATTCTTTTTTTTAAGGCCAGAGTGCAAGAAACTTTAAACATAAAAATAACTTTTAGTACATTCAGTTGCAAGAAATAACTCAGTTTGAATGGAACAGTCAACCAATTTTAACCATCTCCAAATGCTTTAAAACTAAAAACATAAAAATTGACATCAATTAAAATATCTGCAGATGGTATTCTTTTCAGTCACCTTCGGGGACAAAATGAAAACAACAAATGAACCAAGATACATCCTGTTTGCTTAGAACTGCAGGATGAAAAGCCAGGATGAAAAGCCAGGCAGGTAGAACAAACTTTTCTGCTTTGCTGTTTTTGTTGGAGTTGGCCCTCAGTTTTTAGGCATACCGTGTCGAAAATGCTCTACAAATCTCAGCCATTTTATAAACTTTTTCTGTCGAAACATGTATAGGATTGCACCCTAAATTATTCCTTCCTGTTATATGGTTTCCATACCATATGATGTATGCAAGTTAGTGAAAATGCTTAACGCTTATATTAAGCAGTGTTTTAAGTATTATAAACCACTCTGCTCTCATCTCTGTCTTGGTCCAGATGCATGGCTCTGCGTGCTGGCTCAGAAATCCTGCGCCTGGGTCTGCTGCCTATCAGAAACCCGCTACCAGGTGGTCCAAGGCCAGGCACTCAGCCTTGTCCCCCACTTGCGATATGGAGACAGCAATATCAGCCTTCCTAACAAGGCTGCTCTGAGGAATATTACAAATATTTAGCGGAAGCACTCTGAACGCTCAAAGACCAGCTTTCAACACCTGTGTCCCTAGAGATGTTTTAACGGGATTGTTCGGGCCAAAACCTGCGAATTTCTGCATGCCAGGTATATGCTTTACCTCTGAGCACTTTGGCATGTGTGCAACTCAACGATTTGGCTCTGAAACAAACCCCAAGCTCTGGCAAGCCTTCCTCCAGGGCAGGGCCATTTCATGAACACCCCCGTACCCCAAAGCTGACCTTCCACTCTGGAGCACCGTCTTTTCCCCACACACAGAGGTGTTAAAATTCCTTAAGAGGCCTTTAGGAGCATCTCTGCTTCTCCCTCCCTTCCTATTATTCCTCGGCCTGCTCTAGCCCCCTCCAGCCTTACATTTCCACCATTATTCTAACAAAGGATCCTTCTGCATTCAACACCAGCCGAGCCGCTAAGGAAAGGGTTAGGAATCTGGGGGCAGGGGGGGAGAAAGCCCTCATCCGCAAGGCAGTCTCTAGTGAATGCCTTTGCATTGACCTCTATGGCTTGCTCAGCACACACCGCTGCAGTCACGTGGTACAGTCAGCGCAGCTTCTATTGCCGCGGCTAGTCTTACACTCCTCGCCTGGCAGGTCTCGCATCGCTAAATGGACCCTCCTTTGCTCGGAGAATAGAATGCCCAACTTTTCAAAGGAGGGCTTGTGCGTGCGTTTGCAGCCAGGTCTGCTCGAGTGTCCATTTTGGAAAAAGACTTTTCTAGTCCACCTCCTGGTGCAGCTCACTTTGCCTGCAGCCGACGGCTGGAGAAGGACATGTTACGAAGAATGCGAAGTCCTACATGGCGGAGAGAACCACAGGGATTGGGGTGGGATGAGAGCAAGGCCGAATTTTACGCTTTTTGAGCTAGAAACACCTGCCCCCTGAAAAAACCCTCCTGCTTTTCCCAAATGCTTTGCAGTCCGTTCAAGTCGATGTTTTAAATAACCCTGCAAAACGTGTTTTTAATTCAACAGCGTTTCCACTCTCTATTCCACTAAGCTTTTCCTTTCCTCTCTAATACGTTTAACTTGAGATCTTTCTGTTGGATCAGAAAAGCACCTCCAATAGCTTTTCGTTTTTGTTTCTTCTTCTGTGCAGATCAAGGAATTTCTGAAAAGCACTGAAATGTTAAAAAGAAAAAAAACCAAATCCCTCAAGATAAAAATGCACACAAATGATGCCAGGGAATTTTCTACACTACCAGCTGAGCATTCGGGCTGCTCGTGTCAACTTATTTAATCGCTCCCAAATCTTAAGGAAATGAAGCACAGCTTTCTATACGCTTGTTCCTTTAACTCCCAAAAAGGCCCTCTATGATTCGCAAGTGTTATTTTCTTCCCAGGGATGCGTGGGCAGAAAGATTCCTAGGCGGATGTTCTCCTGTAGCATTGCTTTGCTCGGCACATTTTCTTCCACTGCACCAAGGCTACATTAAGCTATACTACAGATTTGTATAACTGTGTAAGAAACAGACAAAAACACACAACAATGTAAAAAATAAAGTCCCCAGGGTACAGAATGTTATACCAGAGGGTGCAGGTAAAATTTGCAGCAAGAAAACAAGAAATAATTGCCTTGGCCACATATTCTGACAGAAAGTATGCGATAAAAAGGTGCCCCTGCAGCCTCCGTGCCCATGTTTTAAAATGGGGAAAGACATTTCTATGTTTTCTATATCCTCCTTTAAAGCAGTAGGTTGGGGCCATCTCCAATTCCCAGAAGTTTTCAGAAGAGAAACTGCCCGTCTAAATCAGTCCTTCCTAATCAGAAATTTAGGGCCACAACTCTCAGCACCCTGGCCCTTCCAGGTGGGCTGGTGAGACAGAACAGTCCAAAACACCTGGAGAACACCAGGGCAGCCAAAATCAAGCTCAGCCACCACAAATTCAGTTCACAGCCGTGTAGAAATCTTCAAGTTCACAATTCACGGACATGTACAAATCTACAAGTTAAATGCAGTGACAAGGACAGGAAAATACATGTTATGGACAGAAATGGAGCTAGAAAAAGACCGAAAATACACATCCTTTAGGGGCCAAAACCCACACTGCAGGATGAATGGCACTGATGATCAACACAAACCCAGGGTACACTTCCAAGACTGAAACAAAAGGAAAAGGGTGATATCCCACATGGGGGCACACAGATGCAAGCCCACCCCATGGCGGCTGCTATGGCGACACGCAAACGTCACGTGTTCATCCAAACTTGGGGCGGGGGGAGCAGACAAGCGCAACCCACACGGACAGGAAGTCTTCTCCCTTGGAGCGGCTCCTCAGCTCTTGCTGGAGGTTCTGCCCAGCCTGTGCCCTCTGGCATCGCAGGGCCTCGCGTTCCACCGGGATCAGACTGTGAACCTCCCCCAAAGCCTGGCAGATGGTTTTCGGCGCTCGGCAGCATTTTTTGTAAACCAAGCCAGTGGGGGAAGTAACTCCTTCCTTCCTGAAGAGCATCCCAGCATGCGTGTGCGCACGTGTGTGAAAAGGACTCGAATCAGAAATCCATCTTCATGAAAACACGGGAGCATCACATAAGGACAACGCCAGAGAGGGAGAAAACGCAACGCTTGCTGTCCACGGGTTGCTTTTCCCCCGAGCAACACGGAAGCCTGTTGCTACTCTCTGACCCTAATGGAAGAGCATTCCGGACACCTCTGAGGAGG